TCCGAACCAAGTACGTTGGTGGAACGCAAGAATGGGCGGAGATGGGTCCTATGCGCCTTCCTCACTCGATTACATACAAAGATGGAGAGACAATCGAGTACAGCGACCATCAAATGGTCTTCCAATTGGCCGATATGCTCAATGAGATGAACGCAAACGATCCGCATCACAAAGTCGACTTCATCCCATGGGTCCAGCATCATCCCAATGAGATCCTCGGCCTTGGAACTGGCAGACTTCCAAATGGACAACTTCCGACGCGAGCGGAGATCCAAGCAAACTCGTCTCTTGGGCGACCAGCACCACTGAACACGCATGAGTACACCGAAACCAAGCAGCGCATGAACGAGCTTTTGAAGTCAAAGGACAGACTCAAGGCCGTGCAACGCGACGTGTGGCGCGAACACAAGAAAGCCATGGATCAAGGCCTCGACGATTGGAGCGAGCAGGCCATGATGCGCCACGTCTTCGGTGCAAGCGAAAACGTCACAGACGCTATCTGGACAGCGAGCGACTACGACGTCTTCTGGGATGAACTGGTGCACAACTCGAACCTTGCGCAAGATGGCGGACCGGATGCACTGGGCATGACTGAGTGGAAGTGTGTAGACGGCGGCTTCAACAGACTGTCTGATGCATTCCTTCCACATGTCAGCGACCGTCTCACCCTCAACCGTAAGATCAGAAAACTGGAGGCTGTCGAAGATGCCGAAAGTCACACACGCACGAAACTGTCGTGGTATCCTAGTGTCAGCAACAGAACGTACGAGTCGAAAGAATACGACTACACAATCATGGCAGTACCATTCACCATGACACGCTTCATGTCGCTTCCCAAATTCTCCTCCGTACTCGGTCGCGCAATCAGCGAAGCTGGCCTCCGTTTCAAATCCGCCTGCAAAGTTGCGCTGCTCTTCAAAGAACGTTTCTGGGAAAAGGGCGACCGTCCCATCTTCGGTGGATACTCCACGCCTCCTAGTGCGGCCGTCGGCGCTCTTTACTACCCCGTCTACGGCCTCAACGAGTCTCGACCAGGCTTGATCTTGCATTACCGGGGTGGCCACTGGAGTGACGAGTTCACTAGCTTCTCAGACGAAGAGTATGTGCAGACTGTGTTGGATGCTGTTGTCAGTGTGCATGGCGAGCAAGCGAGAGAGCTGTATACGGGCGACTACGAGAAGCTGTGTTGGCTGCAGGACGAGCATACGGGGACTGCTTGGTGCCGTCCGGATGTGATGCAGCATAAGTTGTATATCCCGGCATATCATCAGACGGAGCACAACACCATCTTCATTGGAGAGCATACGGCCCCGACGCATGCTTGGGTCAGTTCGTCGCTGCATTCGGCTGCCAGGGGTTCTGTGCAGCTGTTGCTTGAGTTGGGTTTGGTGGATGAGGCGAAGCGGGTCAATGAGGAGTGGATGGGCAGGTGGATTCAACATACGACCACGTAGGAAGTCAATAATCTGAGCATTAATTACTACGTAGTGGATACAGATATACATGAGAGAATGTGTGTGTGTGCGTGAGAGAGCTGCCAAACACCTGCTCTATCTACCTAGGTAAGCTCTGCTCTGCGACACTATTTCTCTAGATAGTCAGCCAATAGCTAGCTGTATCTGGATCCAGAGTGGTCCAACAGTAAGGCATGTCTCCGCACAGGCCGTCCTCCCCAAACCTCCTGTCTCTGATGACCGCACTAAAATTCTTCATCGCGAGTCGAAAATCCTGCTCCGCGTTCTGTAATTCTTTACCCATCCTGGTTAGCATGGTTGTATTGTCGAACATGTGCGATATCGTTTCCTCGCTGTTGACGAACGTAGGCCGGTTGAAATCTACGACTAAACTGATTTGGCCAATAGCCGCTTCAACCTGTGGCATGAAGGGCATGATGTCGGTGACACCTTTCGCAGTTGGCAATGGCGAGTAGAAAGCGAGTGGGTGGAAAGGAAGAACGCCAGTTGAGGCGGCGAGAGCGTTTGTGTTGAGCGTGCCGTGGACTACTGATACCAGGTGGGCCATGTGGGTGAGGATGTCGATGAGGGTTTCTTTGTTCTTTAGAGCAGATGGGAAGTCCACTATTTGAGCTGGTACTGCTTCATGGATCCATGCCTGGAGCTCACTGTCGTTCACAATTGCGCTTGCATCCTTGTAATACGACTCCACGAAAGTGGTCATGAACCGGCGAATGGCAGCATGGATCACCGATGCATCCCGATAGAAAGGAAACACTTTGATCTCGGGACCGAAGTTAGAGTCAATTAAGCCTCGCCTTTTCAAATTGGTTTCGAAATAGTTCGCCTGGAAAGCGCTGGATTCGCCTGAATGATACAGTGAGTCGGTGTAGTTACCGGCTTGACTGCCGGACCATGGAAAGAGTTGATCGATGGGGCCACCGGGGTTTATCAGGCTGTCGCGGCCGATGACTCGGAACGCCCAAGCATCCTTCATCACTACATTACCGCTATGAGTTGGGAATCACAATCGTGGAAGAGGGGATGGAACTTACATCGATGCAGTATGGCCATGACAGGATGCTCCTCGCTCAGAGTCCGGATAGCGCTCAGGTACACGATCTCACTCACCGCGTGCGTGGCTCCTAGATGATACCATTGCGCATACCAAAAGCTGTTGAGATTGAACATCATCTTGACCAGCAACCAATCATTAGCCGAGTCGTGAGGGGTATAGACGAGGTCAGAGCCTTCTACATTCGATTTGATGGCGAGCGGCAGGAAGTTCTGCGACTTGGGGTCGATGTAAAAGTACGCTTGGCAGGCAGCGCCGTATTTGCCAGCGGACTGTGTCTGATACTTCTGGTCCAGATAATCGGCAAGAAAGAGACGGCCAGAGGATTGGAGCGCTTCCAGTGTCTGCCCCGATATCGCGTCGGCGTCGGAGACGGAAAAAGGAAGTTTTGCGTCCTTTGACACCCGCACGATCTTGTACGGATTGTCCGAGAGCTGAGTCATTGAGAAGAGCAGGTCTTCTGTGTAATTAGTCAAGAGTCCTGGATATGGACCTTTGGGCGCGCTTTCTTTCCACAGGCCGTTGTACAGCTTCGCATAGTCATCCAAAGTATGCAAGCCGCCAGCCTAAGGTATGCTAAGCATATATCTCCGGAATCTGTCTTTCAGATGTACTTACTGCCACAATGGCTGCTTGGGCAGCTTTAGCATCCACATCATTCTTGACGCTCAGTTTGTCCTGGAAAGCTTCCAAGCTGTCTCCTTGCGCTTTTGCAACAGGTCCACCGATACTGCCAGCTGGATAAAATGCCGTGTTGCCGGCAATTGAGGGACCATATTCCCAGCCAGCTCGCTTCTCTGCAAGTGCAGATGCACGCTTACTGTTACTGGTACTGGTGCCAATCGAGAAGGACGATATGTCCTGTCCCCGGGGTGGGAGGACTGCTCCATGAGCAGAAATACTCGCGCAGACCAAGAAACAAAGTTGATAACGCATACTTGTGACCGAAAATGGATGAAGAGGTTTTTAGATCCGAGATGTATAGATATGTCAGTTTTCATTCCAAGTGGCTGAGTCGATGCCCAGGTGGTTTTATACTGAATAGGTCCGAAACTCAACGCATCGCAGTCATCCAAACCGCGAGGGCCGAGTTGAACACAGAAGCCGAGACCTCCGTTTCGTACGAGCTGTCTGGGAAATCTATGCGTTGTGTTAGTGAGGTCACAGAGCTGAGGTGAGCACAATCTAGGTAGCCTTGCGCGCTTCCGACCTTAACCGCCTACATTCGAGTGGAATTGCAACAGTCGCGACTTGAAACCAAAAGCGCGAAAGCAAGATTGACTGAATCCAGGCCACTTTTCTACTGACCTGAGATGGTTCCGCCATTCTGCGTAGTGTGAAGGCACTACTTCGCATTCGGGTCTCATGCCATCTCTCACGGATCGGTCGGACTTTTGCACATCTAGATACAATCAAGCGCAAACGATGTACAAGAGCGTCGTCCCCCTTCAACATTGTTAGGAAACTACCTAGGTGATCACGACCCGCGATTCTGGAAGTAGACACGTTGCCAAGCGAGCCGACGGATTAGGTTCGGTCCCGAGACGATAAGCGCTAGTACAAAATGAGCATAGATCCGGAGCTCTCATCTCCAAGTCGTCTCTGACAGCTCGCTCGGAAAAGGTTTCCTGCCTTCCTTGGATTCTCCGGAAGGACGTCTGCGCTCATGGATTCATTGCCTCCTCCAACCAATGTGCAGCTGCGGATCAGCGGCGTCGATTGAGGGTCGACAACTGCCGCTAAGACAGGGTACTCAAGCAGCATAGCCTTCTCGCACAGCTCGAAACGGTCCACGGAAAAGTACATAATCCGGCTGTGCGTGTTTGCACAGCCTGTACATGCTAGCAGGCAGTCGTACTGGTCGGGATAATAGGTGTTTGTGTTGTCAATCGGTGAGGCATCTTCTTCAGTAAGGGGTTCGCTAAACCACCTATCATTGGGGTACCCCGTGCGCTGCCCTGATGGAGCGAAATCAAGAGATATCTTGCCATCGCAATTCTGATGAAAATTTGAGAATTGTTTTACAACAGACTGCTGTCAAGTCGATACAGAAATCTCTTGACCTCTGCACTTGTCGAGACACGGCCATATCTTGGGAACAACCGCTACACAGATCTCTCATACTCGCTGGACTCAAGCAGTGATGCGGCACAGCTGCAGATCGTAGGAACGCTTTAATATAGGACTGTCGGGTGTTTAGTACCAACATGTTGGTGGTGCAGAGTGAAGATCGTGTACGGCAAGTCAGGTAAACGAGCGATGCCTTAAATCACAAATCTATTCGACGCTATTCTGAACAGTGTCTTCCTGGCGTCATCATCATGTCGATGCTCGAAGATATCAGCTACTCGCGCGAGGCGAGCATCGCCGCGGTCCGCGATTACTACCACTTTCTTACTCGCATGTATATGGAAGAAAGCGTCGTTGTTGAGCCACCCAAAGGAGGCTAGCCCTCTGTCACTTCCGACTCCATGCGAGATGTCAACAAGACGGACGAAGTAATAGCCCTCCTCAAGCATCTTCCGTATATCCTTGGTCCCGGAAGCAGCTTCGAGAACCCCCAAGGAGCCCCAAAATGTGTGTTTTCCGACTGGCACGGGGACTCGGAAGAGCTAGCTCAAGGTGTCTGCACCGGCGAAACGCTGAAGGTCTGTTCAGAAGGCGCCAGCATCTCTGACGAAGTACCGGCCCACGTAGTCGGTTTAACGACTGGCGGAAGAGACAACCCGAACTTCCTGCTCGATACCGATCTGGGCGTCATCTACTGGATCGAATGCCCCAATGAAGTCATGAGCAGTTCTTCGCGCGACATGATCGAAGATGATCCATACGATTACGCGCGGGAAAACGAGGCAGAATGGCGGGCCGAATCAGGATGCTGGGCTATTGCTGATTTCTTCGGCATGCTCAAAGATCAATTCCAACAGCTCACTTTCGTTCCCATCGGTCCGAAGTCAGTCATCGCTAGCGATGCGGCGCTGGGGCATAAAGGCGAGGGTCTTGTGGCTATGGTACAAGAGATCTATCGTGAGCATGATTGGCCGGATATGGTGCGCTATCGAAAGACTGAATGTCTCGCTGCGGTGCAAGCAGCTTTAGAGCAGCGCTATCCCGACTGGATCTATTAGAAGTTTCGCAACTACTATCAAGGACAGTAGTGTCTGCCATGCACCTCTGAGCGGGAGCGTCTAGCGTTTTTAGTAGATAGCAAACATTAAGAACGATACATTTTAGGCTACTAAGGTAAAGTAAAAGCGACGGCAAGCAGTGACGAACAACTAACCCTGGAAGAATATCATTCTTTCATTTAGCCGGGTCGAGGTATGTGTGGCACAGCTGCCCTTGGTCATGGCGTGAACCCCCTATTGATCATTATAGTATTTAGCCATTGATACTATACCGAAGGTGTACGTCTCAAAGTGCTGCGCGGTCACATAACTTCACGGATAACCTCGCTTTAGCATACCAACCCTCAGCAATACTTTACTTGAAATGGCTCTCGCCACGGGCACCCCTCCACTCAAAGTTGCTGTTACAGCGCCCGCAGTCCAGCTGACGCTCATGCCCATCGCGGAGCCAACGACTACCCGAGATCCTTGGTATTGCGCGACCGAAAGCATCGCGCAATATTTCGATATACCGAAGCCCACTGGAGTCCTCCTTGATGAGCTCCTTGACTACGGAGATAAGCTAATCGAGGACTGCACACTCACTATCACGCCTTCGGCCACGGTTGTACCCACGTGTCCGTTTCCCGAATCGAAAAGTTGGTGCGCTTTCACGACGGCTGCGCCTCCAGAAGTTCTTCCGGCCTACTCTTCCTATGCTAGTGTAGCATCTTCCTGGTGGGCTGCGCATAGCTCGCGAGCCGTCGAAGTCGTTCAAAGCTGCCCCAATACTTGGATCAGTGAAATGCGCGAGGCCTTGTACGGCGAAGTCTGGCTGAACAACACTATTGCGTTCGCGGGATGCTACGCCGAGGCGCGTGAGATCGATGAAACTCCGACGACTGCGCAATCAAGAGGCGGCTCTGTGCAAACGACTTCTATCGCGTCGATTGCTACCCCGACCCAAGCTCCAGCGACAGCCAAGACTGGGTTACCAAACAGTGCGAGTGGCAGAGTGGAGAGCGCGAAGATAATAGCAGTTGTGGGCGCGGGGATAGCTGCAGCTGCCATTAATTGTGTGTTGTAATCAGGCTGGCTGATGGGGGCTCATTGAGCGAAAGCTATTCTCTTTGTATATGCGTATGTGCTCCAACATCCTAGGAAGCCGAGCGGCACTCTTCCCTTCCCGCTAGAACGCAGTGCTAGATAAATTGTATAACTCCGTCAGGAAGCATGAGCAAGCCAACTATCCAACTTGCCCCAGTCTATGAACTCTAGTGATGAATCGTCCATGATGTAGTCGGTAGCCAAAAAATCATGCGCACCGTCCAAATCCATGCTGTCGAAAAATGTGCCGTCCGCATGGTTGGAGAAGGTGAAAGAATGAGTGCTGTCAAACACAGTGTCTTGCGTCGGTCCGAACGATGCCTGAAAAGAAGCCTGAGTTGATTCCATCAACGCATTCGAGTTATCAGCTAATGCTTCGCCATCGATGCGGTATATGTCAGCCCGGGTTTGATCAGTAGATGCAGCGGCATGACCGCCGTTTGCAGTGCGTTTCTGGCGTCGCAACCTGGCGCTATCGCGTTGGTGTCGTAGACGTGCTATGAACCCAGGTGGCGAATGAGAACGGCCATCTTTCGAGCGCATCAGTGCCTCATGATCGTCATAGGCCTTCAAGCATAGGTTGCCAACAGCTGCATGAATAGGCCTTCTCATGTCCTCGAGCATCTCCGGATTATTGTCGTACGTTTCCCCGATGAGTCGCCAAGCTCGATCAGTGTCGATCAGGTTGGGATGAGCGCGAAGAGTATCTAGCAGATGAATTAAGGCGTGCCACTGCCGAAAGTAGGACGCGCTCCACGCAAAGCGCTTGATGACGGGGTCGGTCTGCAACATGATCTGTTGTTCAAGAAGCTTGAGACAGACTTCCCAGATCTTCTTGCGCTCTTCGAGGGGTGTTTTCTCGAATGTGCCCCAGTTCCGTGGATGATGTATCAGAAAGCGGGCTACATTGAGACCATACCGGGCCACCACCATTGCAACAAGATGCAAGGGCTGAGACGGGTCACAGTAGCGAAGATGTTTCGTTTCGATAGTATCCTCGAGCTCCTGAATCAAGCTTTCACGGGCGTTTTTGCTCTTTGCCGAATGGTCAAGGTTCATCTGGCTGGGGTCCATGCCTTCTTGCCGCAGGGCTGCAATGCGTGGCGCGGCGAACTTTCCCATCTCACATCTCGTGACAATGAAGATGACATCCGTAAGTCCATTGGAGTCTGAGGGTAGCTCAGACATGCCAGGATGCAGCTGATCGTCGTTGACGTTGGTAGGCCAATCAGCTCGCTCAGGGCCAATATCAGGATCTCGGTATTTCGCGAGACCACACAACTCCGCAGCTCGAGAATCATGAGCTTTCAATTGGAACCAGATACGTCGGCGTATCTCGGTATCAAATGGAGATATTCCTAGATATTTACCATCGCGCTCCAGACCCATGCTTTGAGCGATGCGAACAGCTACGCCGGTAAGCGTCCAGGTTGCGCGTGGCGCATAGATCTCACGTATTGTAATAAGATGTATCACCAATGCCTGTAGAACAACAAGATTGGAAGTCTCCATCACTCTTGCTCTAGACAATGCCGCTTCAGTCCCCGAGATGTACTGAGAAAGTAGTTGGTCGCGCGACTTGGCAAAACGTTGCTCACACTCCTCTTGGCTCAATGACATGATAGCGGAGCCATATATAGCAAACATGAGAGCTTCGAGCGGTCGCGGTATGAGCCCAAGACTTTTGGCAGCTTTTTCAATCATAGGCCGTAGACTAGGTACATGCACCACCTTAGTCAACGGATCCACGTTACTGACAAAGATCTCCCAAAGCTGAATAAGGCGCTCGAGCGGTGGATGACGAGGCTTGCCGCTGCGATGGGAGGATCTGATAACAGCGAAACCGGAGTTACCCGTCGTGGGCTCCTCCTCGCTGATATCGCTTGAGTCTTCTAAATCGTTGTCAGGGTCGAGAGACTAAACACTGGTTAGCGTCGGCGCGATGATAAGTCCCGTAATAGCCATGGCATAGGTCCCCCACTCACCTCTTCGACTACCCTATTCCAAAGACTGTTCTCCACAAACCGGGAGGGTGCCTGACCACGAACAGTCGAAGTCTGAAGGCCATACGGAGACGAGCCAGACTCAAGAGACGAAGGCGTCTGCAATTGAATGACATGCTGCTCTTGTTGATCGGGCACGCCATGCATCAAGGGCTGCGACTTCGGCCTACTATCAGTCTGATTTGGAAGGTTCCCGGGGTCGATGCCCTTTTCCTGAAGGAGAGCCTCATACTGTTTCAACCGATCAGTTAGTACCTTGACTTTGACGCGCTTGTTCCTCTGTTTCGGCGGTTGAACGGGGTTGAAGATGCATTCGACGTTGCCCTTGACGCAACCAGCACACGGCCTCTGCCTGTCGCACTTGACCTTCCGTTCAGCGCATCGGATGCAGGAGAAAGTGGGTCTTTTGTGAGCGCTCATAGAAGGCGTTGTGGTTGCCATTGTGGAAATCAGCTGCGCTGAATAAAGGGGACGGCAGGTGTCGCTATTGTCTCGTTACATGCCATTGAGGTAAGAATAAGATGCGAAAGAAGATGACAAGAGTTTAGGAAGTGGCGATGCGGGATGATGGTAGATGCTTGACACCTCATCGGGAATAGTGCGCAGTCCATTACCCCCGAGCCGTTGCCCGAATGCTCGAGACCCGAAGCACCCAACCCCGAAACCTCAGCACGTGCTTCAATGCGCCCGATCCCGCGCCTTCAACTGTAACGATTGCTTTGGTCTTATCCTATATATAACGATGATCAATCTCGCAACCATGACAAGATATCAAACATCGAACTTGTTCGGACAGCCCCCAAATTTGAGCTTAACTAAACAACCCCATTCTCTATCATGAACATCTTGATCGTCGGCTCAGGCATCGCTGGCCCAGCTCTAGCATACTGGCTCTCCTTCAATCCCAAGCACACCATCACCATCCTAGAGAAATCCGCCTCCCTCCAACCCCACGGCCAGAATGTCGACATCCAAGGCAGCGCGGTGACCTGCATCAAAAAGATGGGCCTAATGCCACAAGTCCAGCAATTCAACACCAAAGAACTCGGCACGCGGTTCATCGACTCGCAAGGAACCCCCTTCGCCCCCTTCCCCATCAAAGAAGGCGGTTCAGCAAGCCCAACATCAGAATACGAGATCCTACGCGGCGACCTTGCAAAACTACTACACCAAGCAACAAGTTCCCAATCCAACGTAACATACCTATTCAACACCACAACCAAGCAAATCCTCCAAAACGACTCTTCATGCGTCAAAGTCCTACTTAGCGACGGCACAACACACACCTACGACCTACTCATCGCAGCAGACGGCCAATGGTCCAAAACACGCAGTCTGGTTTTCCCAGCCCAAGACGTATCCATCGAACACAAAGGCATGTACGCCGCATACTTCACCATACCACGCCTCCCTTCCGACGCACCCTGGTGGGATATTTTCGTCGCAAAAGGATCACGTACCGTTGCCACGCGTCCAGACCCCCACGGTACAACCCGCGCGATGTTTACCTTCATGCCGTCAACCCCCGTCCAGACCCTCGCTTGGGAGAAGGCGAGTAGAGCTGGAAGGAAGGCTCAGGATGAACTTGTTCGCGAGGAATTTGCAGATGCAGGGTGGGTTAGCAAGAGACTTCTTGATGCCATGCCCGGGGCGCCAGACTTCTACTACCACGCTATCAATCAGGTCAAGATGAAGCGGTGGAGTCGCAATCGTGTGATTTGTCTGGGTGATGCGGCGTTTTGTCCTAGTCCGTGTACGGGCATGGGGACGTCGCTTGCGGTGCTGGGCGCGTATGTTTTGGCGGGCGAGCTGAGCTGTGTTGACGACCCTGCTTCTTCTATGACTTTCGACGGTCTTACCAGAGCGCTTACCAGCTACGAGCACAGGTTTCGACCTTTCGTGGTACAGAGTCAGGTCATGTCGCCTTTTGTACCGGGGTTCATGCATCCAGGTTCGGCTTGGAAAAGGACGGTCTTGCACGGCTTCGTGAGGCTGGTGTCGATGGTTCTGAGGTGGGAGTGGGTTGGTCCGTGGCTTGGAGATACGGAGAGTAGGGATGATGGCTTCAAGCTACCCGAGTATGCGGCTTTTGAAAGGGTGGAGGAGAAAGCAGTGGGAGTGTGATGGGATCAGGCTTCTAGTGTACAAGTATGGGTATCTCAGTTATTAGAACCTTTAATGTAAAACTATCTGATTGAATGGAAAGAAATAATGTGGGTGATTGACCAGTACTGAAAGACGACAATGACCCATAACGCCACGCTACATGCAACATGATGCAAAGCAGTGATGTTTCTATGCACCAACCACCCTAGGCGGCTCATTACCCAGTAGCAAAGCGTCAGTCTTCTGCCTTACAGCTGCCCAGTCGGTGAGATCGCTATCGACCCTTGTCTCATCGGAGCCATCTGCGGAAGGACGATCCGCAACATCCAATCCACCCTTCGTATCTACAGGTCCCAAGTTGTTAGCCTCGGTGATAGGGCTAGCAAGCTCAGGATCAGACTTGTTCTTTGCGTCATCACCTAGATGTGCTGCACCAAGCGAATCTGTGTCATGTTCCTTCAACGTAGCATCATCAGTCGTCCGATATCTTGGAGGAAGCTGCAGCTCTTCTCTTTCAAGGTGTTCGCCATGCTCCAAAGTGGTGGTTGGAGCGGTGCTCATCCGGTGCATTCCTCCACCTCTTGCGTTACCGTCAACGCTTCTTCGAGCTTTTCCAGGGTCCATTACTTTGGATTGGTCTTCTGGAAGGACTCTGCCGGGCTTGTCGTTGGGTGCATGGGTGTTTGGCCTTCCTTTGGACTGCGATCGCCTGGAATCCTTCTTGGCGACCTCAGTAGACTTGCGTCCAACTCGTTGGCCTTCTTTATGATCCCCTCGACCGGTGAGAGAGCCCACAATTCCGTTCCTGTGTTGTTTCTTCTCGTCGGCGATCGTTCTTTGTAGAGCCTTCCATCGAATGACCACGTTCTCTTCTACGGATTCCTTCTTCTCGGAAGGTCGCTTAGCTCCATTTTGAGCTTCCTTGATAGCCGTGATGTGAGCTTTTGACTCCAACATCGTCAGCTCCTTCTGCCCCTCAGCAATGCGTGCACGACGGAGGTAGTTCGTAGGCTGGTACCGCTTCATGTATTCCGCATCAAGCCCCTTCATCGTATACGCCAAAGGGCCAAGAAGAGCTGCGATGTCTTTGAGCACGAAGCCGCCAATACCGAAGCCTACGCCTCGGACTGCACCTATAACACCGTTCTGTTTGGCGCCATTGTAGGGCTGGGTGACAAGCCCCGAAACGCCATCCTTTACGCCGTAAAGAAACTCATCGCGACCAGCGCGGGTGCCTGAGTGGAAACCAGTGACTCGGGGCGGTCTGCGTACAGTTTCATCTCCATAGAGACGTGGAGCGTTGTGAAAACCTTGAGTAATGGCGAGTGTCAAGTCCATGGGGAATCGAGCGATAGCGTGACCAGTCTTTCTGAACCCAAAAGCAGCTTCGCGGCCGAGCTCCTCAGCCAGCTCTTCGTCCGGTTCCGTGATCTTCGAAATGGAAGATTCGTTGCGATTTGCTTGTGGCCTGGATCCGTCTTGTTCACTCTTGTTGTGCTTCATCTTTTCAGCTCCATTTGCGCCGTCGGCGTTTGCTTTGGCTAGCGTAGCCTTCTTGTGCTCGTGGCGTTCATGGTGCTTGCGCTTCTTTTCCTTAATTTGCTCCCGTTTCCTAATGCTCTTCCCCATCTCGACAGGCATGCCTCCTACACCGGCAGCCGCATCAGAGAATGACGACATCAGGCTGCCCCAGACACCAGTAATTGGCTCGCCTGGGCCACCAAAGTCGTTCCACTCGTAGTGTCGTATGAGTCGCAACTCGCTCCACTTGAGCTTCTTCTTCTCTACCAGGATCTCGGCAGCGAGTGCGGACAGCTTGACCTCGGTATTCTTGATCTTCCATACAGCCGCACGGTTGTCGAGGAAATCGCAACGCATGCTGCCTGCGCCGGTAAGGGGTAATGACCTGTGGAAGGAGCGCACGGCGTTGAGCGCTCCATCGCCTTCCTTCGCAATGCTGTCTGCGATCTTCTTCACGTTCTCTTTGGCTTCTTCAGTCAGACATTGCTTGATGCCCTCCGCTAGTCTTTCTGCGTTGAGTTTCTTGTAGGGTATACAATCGTGCGCTCCAGCCTTTGCCTTACTAACCATCGCACCCCAGAATGGCTGATCGCCAAAGAAGGGTACAATCATTGTCGGTATGGCGCACTTGAGGCCAATAGCGGTTGTACCAGCGCCTCCGTGATGGATAACCGCACTGCACTTGGGAAACAACCAATCGTGCGGTGTGTTCTCAAGCATGAAGACATTTTCCGGGCAATCTGCGTTGGAGCCAAAGCCACCCCAACCCTTCGAAACAAGGGCACGGCAGCCAACGGACTTGACCGCTTCGAAGATCAGACTAGTGAATTGGTCTGGATCATCTACAACAATGGAGCCAAACCCGATGTAGATTGGGGGAGGCCCATCGTCCAGGAATTTCTTCAACTCATCCGGTGGCGTAAATGAGGAAGCAAGATCCAGAAAGACGAAACCGGAAATATCGATCTCTGGGCCCCAATCCTTTGGCTTTGGGATGAGACCGGGTGACCACATGTAGGTATAAGGTACCTTGAGCCGATAGAGTTGGCCTGGCGCCCATATTCTGCTAACTTCCTCAAGATGCAAGACCTGGGTACGGAATCGATTTATAAGGTCGCCGAGACCCTGCCACATCATCATCTCGACGAGCGGATACGACATGAAATTGCTGTAGGTGGCTTCGACGTTACTGGCCTTGATGTTGGCAAGTGGATGAGGAAACTGGCTCGTAGGCGTGTAAGGGAAGCTGTCGAGTGTTAGTACTGACTCGCAAGTCTACATTTCAAGTACTTACGTGAACATCATGTGTAGCGGAATGCCGAGCTTCTCAGCAATATGAGTGGGTGCAAAACTTGGCGGATTGGAAATGATAGCATCTGCAACGAAAGGTGCCTTATCACCCACTACTTGATATTAGTCATGTGTAACACGAATGCATCCGAGGAACTTACTCATTTTCACGTTCGTCTTATCCGTCTCGTCGTCGGTTGCGTTGATGCAAGCACGCCACATGCCCTGGAACATTTCGTACATCTGGCTCCTCCGCCTGCCTATCTCACCCTCCTTGATAGTGTCGATGTTCGGTATTAGCCCAGGATTCTTGACCATGAACGCCATCAGCTCTGCCGGGTTGCCGCCAACAGAGAAAAACTCCAAGCCGGAGTCCTTTTCCACAAAGTCCTTGAAAGCCGGGTGTGTGGCCATGCGAACGCGATGTCCGTAGTCTTCTTTCAGAATCTTGCCTATCCGGATGAAGGGCTGAATATCTCCGCGCGAACCAATGATGATGATAACAATGTTGAGCTTGATTCTTCGTGCAGGATCATGTTCCATCTCGTCATCCTCAGGGCTAATCTTGGTAGCTCCGGCATCGTCGTAACTCGTAGGGCCTTGCTCCTCGTCATTGCCATTCTTCTTGAAAGCTGTTCCCAGAGCCTTTGCGATGTATCCACTGCCAAGGTTCTCCTCGAGTATACTAAGCTTCAGACGTCCGTCCGCCTTGGATACCCTGCCCTTTGTATTGAAATGCTCATTGGCGATCTTGAGACGAGAAAAGGGCCCCGATCGGCGTCCGTGAGGCTGGCGCGTGGCTTGTTTGGTGAGGTCGTCTGCATGGCCGAGGCTCTTGCGAGGGAGTTCTCTCTCATCGTCGGAGGAGTCTGAGGATTCGGATTCGGGGTCGAAAGTGATCGTTGCTGCTCTCTCGGGTGCGGCTGGTCTTGCCTCGCGGGACTTCTGCATCCTTCCTAGCAGAGAGTGTCGCACAGAGGGCTTCGGCCGTTCCGTTGCCCATCTCTGCTGTGTAGGACGCGTCGTCGACGCGAAGTAGTCCTGATCATTCGGGGTAGACTCAGAGGTGTCTCGCGGAGCATCGATGGGCTGGTCTGGCGACGATACGCCTGCTGGTTGAGTCATGTCTGCGGGCGAAGTGTTCTGGACGGGCGTGGGCGTGGTGGGCTCTTGGCCAGGGATATTCGGAAAGGTCGGCTCTTCGATGACCATTCCGATGGGCGAGACGAGACCCTCGCGCTTGGGACTAGGCGTAGGGTTCGCCATAGTGAGTTGTGCGAAGAGCTTTGGCGTCTTGGTGGGTCGGAAGATCTGGGTCAGTGACAGTTCCGCGTTGCCGGTAGTGACGGCGCGATGATGGTGACAGCGCAGAAAGAGCGAAGTCTAAGCCTGAAGGGACGCGCGACACCCGGCTTCACCTGCATGCGCCAACAAAGCTTTTCGTATAGTCGCCTGGATCCGGACAACGGGCGCGCAAAAAGGTGAATATACACACGTGCGAATGGCGTGGGATGGTCGTAGCGGCCGATCCAGGCCACTCGGTGGACAGCAGCACCAGCAGGAACAGGCGGCATGACATCACGTCCAGACATTTGCAGTGTGGATCTAACGGAAGGCGCCAATGCGGGAGTTAACTTGGTTGGGTTAATTCGATGGTCTTGAAATTGTGCCTGGGCGTTCTTGGGCGACTCTTTTTTGCCGAGGTCGCGCGACAAGGATCACATTCCCATGTCTTGAAACATGGCAATCTCCCCCGCCAATGTGCGTGCCGCTCGTACACCACTGGACCCGAGATGCTAACAAGGCACGTAGCATGTGTAGACGTGGCGCCACTGCTGAGATGGTATGGATGTTTCGGCATGTTTTCAAGTGCGATGCATGAAGCCAATACAGCACAGCGATCGTGACCCTATGATGCAGCCCTAAGCGTGTAGCGTCCCGACCTATCCGGGCTGCTCTGCATACTCTCCGAATGCGCTATGGTCGGCCTCTAGCAGCAGCCGGCTGTCGATCCGCAGATGCTTTTGGAAGAGTTCGAGCAGATTTAGCTAGGTCGTTGCCGCTTCTAGTGCATGATGGTGACCGCGTTGTTGTAGGGTCAGATGATGCTTGTGAGAACCGCCGCAGTAGGCCAGCGCATCAAGGTGCATTTTCCGAAGAAGAATGTGGTCATGGCAAGAAAAAAAGTGGATTATTCATGTGGAAGCTTTATTGGAAGACCCCGAGCTTCTAGCTCCATCGCAGTTCGCACCGTGCCCGGGGGAAGAGCCGCAAGCTTCACGATGATGCGCATCATCGCCCGAACCCCAGACTGTACAAGGATGCTTTGACAACATCCTGCGCCCACCCAGCCCAGCCCCGTCCAGCCTGAACCATGTTCAAGATCTTGATGAAGGTGCGGTTCCACTGATCTTGGTCCTCCCAATCATCGGCATAAGGCTCGAAGATGGCCGTTTCGATACTGCCAGGTGTGCCGGGGGTAACTAGGTCCCACTCGCCGTTGTCCTTTTGACGAACATGCATCTTGGGCCCTATAACCAGCGCGCGACCAAGGATGCGAGAATCAGCGACAAAGCGCGTACCTGCGTCAACGACATCTTCGACCTTGCCTACGCCGCCTCCCGCGAGTATGAAGCGCGCACTGGCGGGCACGATGGGTGTATCGATGAAGTATGGACAAAGCAGGTTCACGCGGATGCCTTGAAGGCCACTTGTCACCCTCAAACTCCTGAAAAGACCAAGCACCGCGTGCTTTGCGGCACAATATTGGGGTTGTATGGCAATTGGGCCGAGAGAGGCGATGGAGCCAAGCAGAAGGATATGGCGATCGCGTGGGGAGGTGGTGGAGGGCTTCGAGTTCAAGCTGCAGTCTCTGGAGCCGGGGTTCTTGGGCAGCCAGAAGCAGGCCAGGTGGGTGGTGTATAGCACACCAGTGAGGTTCACGTCCATGATCTTGAAGACGGGTGGGGGTGGTGCAGCCGCATCGAGGTTTGCAGGTTCTTGGAGGACGTCGCGACCTGCTATGCCTGCATTTGCGACGACCGTGTCGATACCCCCGTGCGGGCTCAGCTCGACTGCCTTCTTGAAGAGGTCGACCTGCGACTGCCAGTCCGTCACGTCGCAGTGTACGAAGTGGGCCTTGCCGCCGTTCTTGCTGTCTTTGTTGATGTCACGGCAAAGCGCGTCTCCCTTCTGAACACTGATGTCCCCCACGATGACTGTAGCACCATCGAATACCCATTTCCGCACGAAGCCCGCGCCAAAGCCACTGGCTCCTCCCGTGATGAGTACGACCTTGCCCTTCACCCAAGCCGCATCGTAGGGTACGGTGATGTCGATGGGCGGAGACTGGAGGACATTCGGTTTCTGTGGTTTGTAGTCGTCCATTGCAGTGGTTCTCGCAGTGTGAGGATGATAGAACAAGTACTATGGGGTACTATGAGTGTGAGGCTGGGAATGGCTCTTATATCGTGAGGTACCCGCATGTACGCCCGTGGAGGTGCAGGAGCTCTCACCTGGCGCACTAAGGAGAGCAGCCTCGGCTCGCGAGCGTAAGGTCGCCCATCCACCTAGTCGAGTGGGAGCCCGCGGTCATGATAGGCTGCCCCAGTGTTGAGCTTGTCGCATTATCCATAGTCTGCAACTAAGGGGAGAAATACGACCGAGAAGTGCACACGCGAATGCGAGGTCGATCAGCCGTCAGACATGGTGACTTGAGTGTCCACATACGAGCTGGTGGGGTTGTCAGGCTAGCGCAGTTGTGCCTGAACCCCTGCCGAAATTTCCAGTCGCATGCATCCCCGCCTTGCAAACAAGTCATACAGCAGCAGCTCCTCATCCACCTCCGCTCCTCTGGACCACCTGGGTACTAAAGGTCCGAAAGTATCACGACTAAGCTATTCCCGATCCATCCCACCATGGCGGCCAAGCCTCCCGCTCTCGACGTGTCGGCCACGCACATCGTCGCGACGCTCTTCTACAAGGCCGACACGCCCAACTTCTTCCAGCATGCCGATCTGTCCCCCCGAAGTCCCGGTGACCCAATTCCCTCCGCTTCCCTCGAGTCGCTGAAGGACGGCGCCGTGCCCACCGAGAACCTCGCAGACTACCCCCTCGAACCGCCCACACCTGGGCCCAACGCCCGCGACAATCTCTACGGAAGCTACGTCAGCCAAAGCTGCCTCACCGAGTTCTTCGTCACCCTCACCAGCATTATAACCGGCTTGGAGCAGAACACCATAACGAGCAAGAGGCTGGAGGCAAGCAAGCTCTGTAGGGTAGTCGAAGTCACGTTCCCCTTGCCAAGCGCCTCGCCCGTCGCGCTTGAGACGTTGCGCAGGCATGAAGCCGTGTCGCGCTTCGAGCGCGAGTGGAACGTTGAGTGCGTCTTCCAGGCAGACACCATACATCGGCGCTACAAGAGGCTTGCCGTCTTCGACATGGACAGCACCCTCATACAGCAAGAGGTCATTGACGAGATCGCTTCGCTGATTGGCGTGGAAAAGGAGGTATCCGCCATCACCGCTGCTGCCATGAACGGTGAGCTTGACTTCGAGGCTAGTCTGCGCGCACGATGCAAGCTGCTCAAGGGCGTGCCAAGCAGTGTATTTGAGACACTGAAGCCAAGAATAACATTGAACGAGGGCGTCAAGGATCTTATCACCGCTCTGAAGCGATTGGGCTTCAAGACAGCAGTACTTAGCGGGGGTTTCACTCCCCTAACAGGATGGATGGGACAGCAACTTGGTCTTGACTACGCCTTTGCTAACCACCTGGTCGTTTCCGACGACGGAGCCACACTCACAGGCGAATTGACCGGTGAGATTGTGCACGCCCAGAAGAAACGCCAACACGTCCTAGGAATTGCCGAGAAGGAGAATATACTCCTGGACCAGGTAATATGCGTCGGCGACGGCGCGAACGATCTTCCTATGATGGGCGTAGCCGGTCTGGGCGTTGCCTTCCACGCGAAGCCAAAGGTGCAGATGCAAGCTCCTGCTCGTCTCAACTCAAAGAGCATGCTGGATGTACTGTATCTCTTCGGTATTTCAAAGGAAGAGCAGGAAACACTATTGCAATAGCACAATCACTCGCCGTACAAAAGGTAACCAGCGAATTCTGTCCCGCTCGCATCATGCATAATAATCCTGTTATTACGTGAACCAACTAGCTATCTCGATTTCTCTGTTGCGTTGCTGCGACAAGGCGCATGTGGTCGTCTAATACATGTCCGGGACTCAGGCATACAGCGTGGCGCAGCTTGCCCCTCCGTGTCTGCCTGCCACCCCAGCCACGGCGCCACAATATGCGATGCGATCACAGCCTCGCGGCATTGTCATAATATAGACGGAAGGCATGCACTTAAGCTCGTTCATATATACTTTAGATTATCTGCGCATCTTCTCTGCACATCGCTACCAAGTATCGCGTATCGTACTCGCCTTTCTCCGTTCCGACTCGTCAGTAATCAACAAACGAAAGATGAAGCTACCCGATTTACCGACAGACATATATCGCCTTCTTCTTGATCAGGTGCGCCTCACCAGCGCAAAACACCTTGACTTACGTTAACATTTGTCTAGCTCTCACTATCAGACCAGATCTCGCTCAGTCTTGTTTCGCATACATGTCGCAATCAATGCGAGCCAATTATCTTCCGCACTATCACAGTGGGTGCTTGCAAAGAGCGAGGCTCAACTATGACGGCACGCATCACCAATGGCCTGGGATGGCCTTTTCGTACTATCACCTCGGGCAGACCCAAGAAAAGCGGACCCGGTTCTCCCACAAGCATCGTGAGCAGTCTAAAACGGAACAGTGGTAGGATGGCGAAAACAGTGCGTCACTTGGTCATCCCATCTTATCCCGACCATAGCTACATCCCCCCCGCGACGATTCTACACATCATAGAATGCACACAAAACCTTGCATCATTTAGTTGGAACGCCAACTACGCCATCTCCATGCGTGTTCTCGAGGCGCTGCACCGCGATCATCCTTCAGCTCAGTTAAAAGTCACGAACCACAATCGCAAGGATTTTGCTCTAGATGAAGCTCTCCTGTCATCACCTCAGCTCCACACACTCGACATTACAGTCTGGTGCTTCCATCGGGGAGCAACACGTCTGCAGGACGAAAACAGCGATCTCTCTAAACTCAAGACACTACTCATGCGGGGCCGCAACCTCAAGGTCCTACGGTTGCGTCTCAGTAAACAGCAACACTTTACCATGGCTGCGAGAAGTCAACGTAACAGCTACACGGCTATGGCCGTTGGCGGATCTCATTTCCGATTCCAGGAAACGGATACATTCCCCACGCTCGAAGAGTTGGTCATCTCCAGAGCTGATGACCTTGCGCATGCCTACGAGTTTAGCCCCAAGCACTGCAGCGATTGGGTCTACGCCATGGACTGGAGTGAGATGCGCATCTTAGACGTGGCCTCCACTCATTCTGAACATCTGCTACGAGAGATCGCTGGTCTAGTACCCAAGCTACACACGCTGAGTTTGAACCCGTCCTCTATCGACTCTGCTACTCTCCAAAGTTTCTTGGGAACTGTGCCACTGTTGTCAGATCTGAAGCTGGTTGCTGGAAGCACGTCGAACATGTATATTGGTAGCTTTGACAAAGCAGTCACGAGGGTTTGTGAAGCCATTGGAACTCAACTCCGCTCTCTACAGATCGAATCTGCATCTGGTATGGTCATGCCGTGGCAGAATCAGCGGGTTCAGGAGGTGCTGGAGTTATGTCCGCAGCTGAGGTACTTCGAAAGTGTCATCGAGGGGCTGGTTTCGACCGGTAAATGGGATGGAGATGTTGTTGGCAAGTCGGCTTCGTACAAGCGTGCATTGATGTCATCGACTGGCACTAGGAAATCAGGTATGTAATACATTCCTCCTCTCAAATGGCGGAAGGCGATACATTGCTAACGTATCTGTGTAGATGATCCGTATGCGTCATGCTGTGGCACGGGTTTGAATGTACCGCCTGAATGCGTCCCCCGGTTCACAGCTTTCCCGCCAACATAACGAACGTCTATACTACACGTATCGTTTCTCTCCTACTCAAGACAATTCCTAGTCTCTTCCGAACACTTTGGCCAGACCTTCTTCCAACTCATGCTCACACGTGCATGGCGGTGGTGATATCTGATGCTCTGTGACCCGAGCCGGCTGAGTTTGAGACAGTCCGACGTTTCTGCAACCCTCGCAATACACCCGTACTACGACCTCTTTCGCTTGCATACGATGTTCACAATATTTTAAAGCATCAAGCACGGCGTCTTTGAAGTCATGAATGCACCGGAAAGTAGGCGGCGATGGTTTTCCACGTGACAAGTAGTACCTCACAAGGTCTACGAATCTTGACCTTGAGATGGAATATTTTCAGATTGGGGAAACGCGTTTGCCAGTTAGTGGAGCGTCGAATTGCTTGTAGAGCAGCTCTGTCATGCGTGACATCTTGGCCTGGTGTCATTTGAGTGGACGCAAGAAGAACTCTCCAAGCTGTATCCATATCGAGGTTCTGGTCATTGCGTCGCGATGTATAGAGATTAAAAGTGACTTCAAATCTCCGGATCCACTTATACGCATCAAGTGGCGGGAATCTAGGCAAGGACATCAAGAAGAGAGGAATTGTGGTGACGAATTTGTTGCTTTTGTAGTCTGCCTCTGTCAGTTGTTGATTTAGATGTGCAGAGCCTAGTTGACCAGAACCCCCGTTTCGCTTACAGCTTTCACGGGCGATCGCGGCCAGCTCTGTGTTGCCACAGCGCAAAACTGGTATCAACAAGCTCACCGCTTGGTAACTAGTATTGTGATCGATAGGCCCGGCAAACGTAAGGGCGTGGCCGAGGACTTCTAGTTGAAGTTCAGTAGATAAGTCTGACCATGAATGGAAAGACGCTGTCTCCTGGGGTGCGGTAGCGGTCGCCATTCGTGTGAAGGTCTCGAGGGTTCGCAAGATGAGACAAGTGTTAAGAACTTGGGCGAATGGGTCATTGTTTGTTGATCCTCAGAGCATCTGTTAATCACAAACACCTGTAGATGGTCTGATCGCGAGCCATGTAGCAATAAGGATCGTGTGGAGCGCGTGTAAATCTCACGTAACAAGTGATGTCAGGTTTTTCACTTCCATCTACAATGCGGTTCACTACTACCAGCTTAGCCAGCGACTATGTGAAAACACCCTCCATGTAGCCGTATAGACCATGCCATCCATCAGTATATCAATCGTTCCTTTGCCAACTCACCAAGCTTACCTCACCGATTCTACTCCATAACAACAATGCCCGATCAAGTCATTACAACCACAGGTTCCGCAAACTCACTAGTGCATGCCGACTCGGAAGACTCAATCTTCTTCCAATACTGGCATAAGCTTCCAGCAGAGCTAAGAATAATGGTTCTGGAGCAGCACCTAACCTTCCCAACTCCAATCACCTACACAAAACACTGGGCTCTAATGAAGTTACGCCTCCTTCCCCCTACGCCGTACAGATTTCGCGACCATAGCAAAAGCCGCATATTACAATAACAACGTCTTCCAGGTCACAGACTATACACTACATTACGGACATCGACCATCGCTACGGGTCGGGAGCGAAATCCGCCACTTAGACTTCCGGTGCCAGTCAGTTTCTCGTAATGATTACGGAGGCTTAGGTCTCCTCTGGCAGCCGGCAAACCAGATACCAAGGAGTTGGCAGCAGAACATCCCCAAGCTGAAGACTTTGCGCATCGTCCTTGGTGCGCGTGGGTATTGGCGTACCACATTCGATGGATCCCGAGTCTGGGTAGACGCACGGGTTACGGGGGAGATGCTGGTAGAGTGGGAGAGGATTCTGACGGAGAACGTGCTGAGTCTTACGCCTGAAGACATTAATTTTGAGATCGAGGCGGATGGATGCCCGGTCGCTAGACCTGAAGATGTGTATCATGACGAAAGCAGCTGCACTTGTAAAGAGGATCTGGAAACGGATATTAAAGGGTTGATGGTAAAGAAGTGATATAGCAATATGAGGGAGAAGAAGCTCTACTGGCCTGGATTTCATGTACTCTTATACTTCTAGCTCTTACTGATAGCCCTGAAACGACTGCTGTGATGACGATGCTGATACGTGACTGATATAGGTGATTGCTATCCAGGAGTAGCCGGAGTGGTAAGCAATTTTGGAAGATACTCTTTTCGGGATATTCACTGTTCCTTGCCGTCTGATATCATGGCCATAGGAGGTCAGAGGAGCGATTGCTTGGGTGATGTTGGGTGCTCCAACGAATATCACCGGATTGCCGAGCTCTAGTGCGGATGAGTCAGCAGCAAGCCCGCACGCGTCATGTCGCGTCGCGTCGCGTCACTTCCAAGGTTCTAAGGTTCGGTCATAACGAACACCTGCGTCATCAGCATGTTGTGGTGGATCTCGCAATGACACCTAGAAGCTGACAAGACAATACATTGGAATATATGTATGTATATAATGACGCAAGTTACTTCACTGACCAGCGCGACGCCAAGCCCCGGTCTGAGTCAAGCCGCATTCCCATCTTCGCTGTGGCAGTCTACTCCTTCACTTCCTCCTTGACGAACTTACTCTTTCCCGCTACCTTGACAGCCAACAGCCAGATACTGATATCACTCATGATATCCACAGTACCAACGTCCGCTCCGGTGGCCTTCGAAAACCAGTTCCGCATCTCCACCGCGACCAACGAGTCCACGCCGTACCGATAGATCGCCTTCTGAGGATCGATGTCGTCCTTGCTGACAACCAAGAGACTGGAAAGCTGGTTCTGGATCGCGTCGACAACGATATCGGTGGCTTGAGCGAGGTTCGTGGCCTCTGAGAGCTTGTACGAAGGGCGATTCTTGGCTTCGGCGGTCGCGGTGTCGGAAGAGAAGCGCGAAGGGAGCGTGTCGAGATAGTGATATAGCGGCCGCGTACTACCGAGAGGTGCCACGATACCCATGGCACGGAGATCAGCCGGCAGGGTCAAGGGTGTGATGATCTGGGACCCGACGGTGCTTGCATCGACGCGTTCGGGGTCACAGCAGAAGCGTAGCAGCTTGTAGATGTCACTCATCGGCACCTCCTCCAGCATACCCCGCACGCGGAGCAAAGCTTGTACCTGCTCGTTCTGAGCGACGTAGCCAACACCGGTGACCATGCTCAGAGCGAGGGTGTGAGCACGTTGGCCGTGACGCATACGATGGGCCGCTAGTTCGTCCTGGTATGTGTTGCCAACGGTGTAATTTGATTGACCGAACGAGCCCATGATACCGGTGGAAGATGACAACATGACGAAGAAGTCGAGATCGGCAGGTAGAAGCTGGTGTAGGTTCCAGGAGCCGTCTACCTTGGGCGCGAGTGACTCATGCCACTTCTCGCTCGACATCTTTGCGAAGGAAGAGTCGCGCATTACCATTGCTGCTTGGACACACCCTTTGATTTGCGGAAGAGCTTGGAAGGACGCAAGGGTCTCCTTAAGCTGGTCATAGTCGGCGACGTCGCATACTGGAGCATACACTGCGGCGCCTTGTGCCATCAGTCCTTGCATGAAGTAATCGCGCTCAGATCCAGTACCCTCGACTGCTGATCGTGACGGCAAGATTAGATGCTTGGCTCCATTGTGTACCATCCACGTAGCAATGCTCTGGCCGATGCCGCCAAATGCGCCAGCGACAAGATAGCTGGCGTCCGAAGAGAACAATGGCTTGTCAGAATCTGGCGAAAGTTCCATTTCCACAATCTCGTCGCCAGCCATCTCGATGACTACTTTTCCAAGCGTCTCTCCATCTTTGAGCGACTGGAAAGCCTGCTGAATACTACGCTGCCTGAACACGGTCGGAGGTAGAGACACGGTGATCTTACCACCTTCCATCAGTGATAGCACATCTGTGAAGATGCCAGCAAACAAATGGCTCTGTGCTAGGTCCTGGAAGTTGACGCTGACGAAAGTAATGTTCTTCGTTGTAGGAGGTACCACAATCTCGTTTGAGCCATTCGCGGTCGAGTTGAAGACGTCCTTTTCTCCAACGCCAACAAAGCGTCCGAACGAAGCGATGCATGGCCAAGAATCTTGCAAGAGTTCTTCAGAGCCCATCACAACATCAACACCTCGTCCTCCTGTCAAACGGAGGATACCATACTGGAAGTCGAGATTGCCAGTGAGGAACACGTTCGACGTCGGAACGTTGAAGTCCTTCTCCAGGAAAGCCGCTTCTTCAGGTGTGCCTACAGTCGCAAAGACTTTCGTATATCCGTGGAGAACGGCGATTTGGATGATCGCTCGGCCGAGCGTGCTAGCAGCCTCGTGGACCAAGATGGACTCGCCACCCTGTATACCGACACACTGCTTCAAGCCGTAGTAGGCCGTACAGAATGCCACTGGATAAACAGCAGCATCGCAGAAGCTCATACCGTCCGGCATCTTGTGCAGTTGTGAGAACTTGCAGCGTGCAATTTGCGCAATGCCATCTCGTGTGACACCGAAAACGCGATCACCAATCTGGAAGCCCCCATCGTGTGATGAACCAGTGCGTACCACGACTCCAGCGATCTCGCTTCCGAAGGTCTCATCATGGACCTGACCGAGTGCTACCGAGACGTCCCGCATATTGAGTCCAACAGCCTTGATTTCAACGACAACATCATCCGGCTCAAGCTCTCCAATGTTGTCGGAAGCCTGCTCGTAATGCAGTGTACTTAGGATGCCTGCCGCGCCGATGGTCAACTTTGGGCTGTCAAGCTCGCTCCAAGGTTTGGTGACAGTAACTAAAGTATCTTCGGTAGGCAGTGCTTGAGCAGTGAGTTCCGGATCGTCGACTACACGTGGAATGCAGAGCTGGCCGTCAATTTCGCAGTACTCGTCCTCCGGGTCGGGTTGTGGATCTAACAGTGTCTTGGTAATCGTCGTAATATTGGCAGCGGCTACGTCAAGTCCGTTATCCGAATTGAGGCTGATGCTTACGAGCCGATAGTCTTCAGATTCCGTCGCTAGCGTGCGCACAAGTCCTGAAACCAGGCCTTCGGTGGGGCTCTGGTCAAGAGCTCGATGCTGGAACGTGACCCACAGCAGGGCATTGACTTTCGATACCAAGGTCTTGATCTTCTCGAGTTCGTCCTCTTGCATGTGTCGAAGTAAATTGCCGTCCAAACCAGGAAGAAACACGCAGGTAGCCTTCTCAAGGTCATGTTCTGATACAGAGCTCCATGCTACCAAGGCAACACCAAGCTCGTCTTGCGCTGACATTGTTCGGCGAAGATTCTGCATCAAGTCCACCTGTGATGAATCCGCTTCATCGTAGATGATGTGAATACAAATCTTAGAAGAGGCTGATGAAGTAGACGAAGTTGTTGGGTGATCGAAGCTAGCTGGCTTCCAATCGATGCGGTATAGGCTGCGCGGCACGTCCTTCTTCTCTGTGGATGGATCGCTGCGACCAATGGTGGTAGTCTCTAGATCGCCGTAGAAGCAAAGTTCTTGCGTATCAGCAAATGCTGCAGTGACGGAGAAGAGCTTGTTGCGGAATCCACGTCCAGAGACCTTCGCATGTACCCTAACATCTTGCGCATCGGAAGATTCGCGCAGCAAGTTTGCAGAGAACCAAGCGTTGCTGAATCCAGTCGGTACAGTGGTGGCTGAAGAGTCCTTGGCGTAAATGGAATACGCTGGAAATGTCATCTGAAGTATGGTATCCAGCGCAGCGGGATGAATGAGGTGCGCATCACTGTAGTCAAACTTTGCGTGCGTCTGCCAGTCTCGAAGTCCAATTGTGCCTGCCGCCTGATTGTTTCGATCCCACTTGACATTGCGCATGCCCCGGAAAGTTGGGCCATAGGTGAGGCCGGCCTCATCGAATGCACCGTAGATGTCAGCGCTGTTGATATCGACGCGGCATTCGTCCAAAGCCGAATGGAAGGCGAGCTTCTTCTGATCCAGCGCCTTTGCATGTTCACTGTAACCTCCTAGGTTCTCGTGGCGTTCGTCGTACTCAATCGAAACAGAACCGGCACAGCACAGGTGCCATCCGCCGTCCTCGTAAACGAAAAGGGAGAATTGGTGCCACATGCAACCAGGCTGCACATCACGTGATTCCAGCATTCCTGGTCGGAGTGTTAGCTGTATCTCTGTACCGCGGGGATCAGCCGAAAGTGTCATAGCCTTCGTAAATTTGACTTCTTCGAGCTTGTAACCCGATGCGCTCTCAGCTCGCTGACCATAGTACTGGCGCATAGCTTCAATGACCATAGCAAGCATGCCCGCCGCAGGCATGAGGCAAAGACCATTGATTTGATGATCTTTGAGATATGGTGACTGATCTAAGAGAATGCGGTTCGTCCAGCGTGCTTCAAGTTCGTTCCAGTCAGGGGTGCGCGAGCCAAGAAGCTCGTGATGAACAAACTGTGTCTGACGATATTGAATGCTCGTCCTGCCTTCAAGCCAGTACTTCTTCTTATCTTCGAATTGATAACGTGGAAGCGACGGCAGGAAGTTGGGGCTGTGACCGCTGTCCATATTCACTGCAGCTATGTCGACAGTGCTACCCATGGTGTGTAGCTTTCCTGCACATTCCATAGCGGTAATGTCGGCGGCCCGATCCCGACGCAAGACAGAGCTGTAATCAGTCGCAATATCCCTTCCGTATTGTTTGAGGATATCGCCTAGAGGCGAGCGCAGAACGGAATGCGGACCAATCTCGAGGAAGAGATAGCTTGAAGCATCTTGCCGTGCGCATACACCCTGTAGCGCAGCGGAGAATTGTACTGACCCAGTGAGATTCCGCTGCCAATAGCTGGAGGACCGCAGCTCATCTAGACATTGGAGATCTTGCCCAGTGACACTTGAGACAAATGACGACTGGCTCTCTAGCGGCTCTCCAGCCTCTATGTTTCGGAGTAGCTTTCCATAGATATCGGCGACTGAATTCATGTGATGTGGCGAGTGATACGCAACGTTGACCTTTAGAACATGTACTTCGATCTGCGCTTCTTTGAGAGCTGCGGCCAGCTGATGAACGATAGCATATGAACCCGAAAGCGTGAAGCTGCTCGCGCTGTTGTAGCAGGCAACATCGATTGGATCATCGGGATTGTCGACATTCGTCTTGTCCATCACATGTTTCCAAGCATCGAGAGGAGCCTGAACTGCGATCATGGCGCCATGAGATGGTTTGAGAGTTTGGGTAATTGCAACGGCCAGCCCTCGGAAATAAGCTACCATCCAGGCAGACTCTCGTGAAACTGCGCCGCTAGCATAGGCGGCAGCGATCTCACCCGAAGAGTGACCTACCGAGATGGAAGCGCGAACGTTCCATGAGGCCAGCAGGTCGAGAATAGCAACTTGTAGCGCGGTGCAGATTGGCTGGCTGAGCTCAGGCTGATGGATGGTGGATTCTTCTTTCGACTTGTGGTATAGTTCTTCGATGAGTGACCAAGAACTACCGAGTGACTTAAAGTATCGATCGGCTTCAAGCATAGCACTTCGAAAGATCTCGTACGCTAAGAGCTCGCGACCCATTCCATGCCACTGCGCACCTTGACCAGTGAAGACGAAACACACGTTTACGTGTTGTTTGACTCGTGTAGGAGCAGGAAAGGTGAGTTGCGACCGCAGATCTGGTGAGGCGACGCAGGCTGTCTTCCATGGGAATGGTGTCCTCTTCTCAGCCAACGTGTATGCAAGATCACTGAGAAGTTGAGTACGATCCTCGTGATCGGCGTGATTGCTCATCCATGTTCCCAGGGCGGAGACCGATCGCTGAGCCGCACGCTCATCGAACGCAGATAGTATCAACAGTTTCGGGACATTCCTGCCAATCTCACCAAGGAGCATGCTGGGATCGTCCGTAGTAGTGAATGGGGTGAGGTCAGCGAGAGGTTCCGATGATACATTGGTACCCGTGCTATGATCGTCGTCATCTCGCTCTTTCTCCATGGTGCCGGAGATATCCGATTGACACGCAGATTGGCTGTCCTGGATGGATTCAGTGCAGTGTCGGCCATTCAGTCCACGGCTGCTAAGAAAGCTCAGCGCATCGTCGATAACGACGTGAGCGTTGGTGCCTCCGTAGCCGAAAGAGTTTACGCTTGCGCGTCGGACGCCGCTTGTAGGCCAGGCTACCGGTACGCGTGGGAACTTGAGGTTAGGGCCAGCCGCTGCGACAGCAGGGTTGATACGCTCGGGATAAACGTTTGGTGGAATGATGCCCTTCTCAAGTACAAGAAGCGACTTGATGACGCCCGCGATACCACTGGCGCCCTCGGGATGTCCCATGTTGCCTTTGAGCGCACCGACGAAGATGGGATCTTCAGGCGTTCGAGAGGAGAAGACGTTGTTGATAGCCGCAGCTTCACAAGGGTCTCCCACAGGTGTACCGGTGCCATGCGCCTCGAAATAGCGAGTGTCACCGAGATCAAGACCTGCGCGCGCATACGTCTCTCGAATGAGGCGCTCTTGAGCGGACTGGCTGGGCGACGTGATGCTTGGGGTATTACCATCCTGGCCACATCCGGTTGATCGTATGACGCCGCGGATGGTGTCTCCATCTGCAATGGCCTTGTCCAGACGCTTGAGAATGAGTACGCCGAAGCCTTCACCGCGGGCGTAACCTGATGCGCGCTCATCGAACGAGTAGCAAACACTATCTTTTGACATCATGTTCAAACTGCTCAAGAGAGCGGTTGAGTCTGGAAGTAAGCATAAGTTGTTACCGCCGACGAGTGACTACAATCGTGTGTTAGTTATGATATCGACCTAGGAAAAGTTTGAACAGGCCTGCAGCCTACATCGACATGGGAATGTGCAACGTGAGTGATCTAACGTCGATGTAGGCTCCAGGAGGTGACATGGCAGATGAGACGAAGAATTGACTTACCATATCGACGCTACCAGCCAACAATTCTTGACACGCCAAGTGGAGCGCAACGAGGCCACCTGAGCAAGCTGTGTCGACGGTCATACTTGGTCCGCTGAAATCGTAGAACCAGCTCAAACGGTTGGCAAGCATGGCCAAGCCGCTGGATCCTACCTAGATATGGGTGTACGAGGTCAGTGTTTGTCTCACATGCAGTACATCGACAATGACTTACGATGCGGTAGTCTCCTGGCATCTGGGCGTCTCGCTGAGAGATTTGGCTGTACTCTTGAAGTAGACAACCAACGTGAACAGATGTTCTAGTGCCTATGGCTGCCTGCATAGGGATACCGGCTGCGTGTAGACGTCAGTGCGGGTAGAGTTAGTTTTCGAGATATGACGTACCGTTCTCGAGAGCATGATAACTTGTCTCAAGCAACAGACGCTGCTGGGGGTCCATGCACTCCGCTTCCGCGGGTTGAATGGAGAAGAAAGGAGCATCAAAACGAGCGGGGTCGTCTGCGAGGAAGTGGCCGCCTCTATTCTTTACAGTGCCAGGTCGGTGGCCATGCTCCTTGTAGAAACCATCGATATTCCAGCGATTCTTGGGAATCTCGGTCATAGTTGATCGGCGTTCCATGAGTAGCTTCCATAAGCTCTGAGCGTCGGTGATATCCTGGGGAAACTTGAAGCCAAAGCCTACAATGGCAATAGGCTCTGCGCCAGAGGGTTGGCTCGAGGGCGCCATGGATGGCTGTTCAGTATCGGCGGGAGTGTTCATATCGGGAGGTGTCGTCAGTTCAGGTGTTGAGAAAGTAGGGATCAAGTGTGAGTCGCTGGTGTTGGCAAGTGCGACTTTAAGGTACCGGGTAAGAGGTCAGGCACTGCAGTGAGTTATAGTGAGGTGTTGGGGAATGCGGGGCGACGACTTCACTGTACAGGTGAGCGAGCGGCTGCCTGAGCAAGTTAACAAAGCGTCTGCTGAGGCAATTGCGTGCTACAAGTGCCTGCCTGATCTTGATACCGCGTCAGGCAGGCGGTATGCAAACGCGCTCGCTCACCCCCTAGAGGTCAACTGGAACGTGCATTCACATCATGGTTTCCCAACCAGTAGTGATTGCGTTTGGTTTCTAAAGATTGTACTGTGCATGTGGGGGCGCCCTTTCCCAGGCCGCTCCGCATTACCAGGCTACCGGCGCCATGAAAGAAATGACTTCCCGCAAACAGTAGTGATTTGATACTCCAGACTGAGGAACCCACGCTCGAGAGTCGAAAGAGGAAGACCTAGGCGTAGTCTGCCATATGAGGCTAGACTGGTGTAGACGGCACCTGGGTGTCTGACCCGCGCCCGGGCGTATGTCTCGAACCTCACGAAAGATCCGGGCGCGTGCATTGTAATACGGTGACTGAGTTCTTTTGTCTCTTCTCAAGTGACGACGACTACCCATCGCAATAAGGGATATGTTCCTGAACCCCGTCTGAGCCAGATTAAACTGCAAGATCGGAGTGAGGTGTAAGCTGCCCTCGCATGATCGACCGTGTAACAGAACGGCAAGCCGGTGGCTACGGGTAGCCGTTCCCATGGCTATGCAGTAACAGCACGCGCCGTGATCGATTGTGGTGATACGAAGTAGATTTGCACGACTTGGCGCACTCGCTAACGCCACCAGGGGCAATGATAGGCTCCTCGGTGATCGAAATCCTGCATTTTCAAGTACATAGCAGCAATTCTGTTACACAGGCATGTCACAGAGCGTATACTTTGCATGCCGACTTACTTAGGCTGACGCACTATTTAGCCACGTAGACTTCTTGATTAGCGTACCTCGTGCCGACCGACCGTTCAGTCGTCTCGTATATGCCAACAGCAGGTTGCCCTAATCTATTCGTAGGTTGGGTAGCCGGCTGCTCGTATAGTATGACTAGGCTCCGGTACGCCTGACTTGGCTCTTAACGCCATTTGACTGTCTCGTCGCATAGGCTGACAAATGGCCGAAGAGCCTCCGAGGTATCCACACTCCGTCAGCAGTAGAACTCAGGCCGCAACCTCTGAAGCGCCTCTCAGCGATGTTGCAGAAACGTCTCGAGTTCATTCGCTCTCTTTGGCAAAGCGTTAAGTTGCTGAATGCTCGAAACGACGAGTGTGATGCTATGCAGTATAGTGCCAAGACCGGACAGTGCATGTCAGAGCATGCGTCCATGAAGGGGATAAGGCAACAGCTCTCCAGCCCAGAACGTTGTGAATCATCATCATATATGCTCGTTGACCGTTTTGGAGAGGTGCTCGATGCTTCTGCTCATCAAGCCATCCGCAAAACTCGTTATGACATTCGTCCCTCGCAAGGTTTAGTACTGCATCATCAGGGGTATTGAGGTACAGTGTAAGCAAACGGATGGGAAGTTGATGACAGGCGAAGTTCTTGTCGGGCAACTTTCTGGAGGCGTGGGTTTCGGATGGTATGATCATATAGATGGAGCAATGAAACCCTTTCCTTGTACCTGAGCTCTCAAAAGACGTCGTGTGATAAGCAGCCCTGCCATGACGCTATACATATGATGCACGAAAGCTGCCGTGCCGTCTGACGGACAGGATCCAATATTATGGAGTGCTTATTTCGATCGTTGTCCTGTAGGTCGGAGACATGGACGTCATTGATCTGACAAAGACTGGCTAATATATCCTCAGTTGGCAGGTGCTCATCCTTTTGAAGACGAAACATAGCTCCCAGCAGGCAGCACGATTATTCCTTTCATGGTTTCGAGGTAACCGTAGGAGAGTCTGGCGTGCTACTCGCGCGAGTCAAGGTTCTTTGTTGCGTTTATAGCAACAACAAGGGTTGGTCAGGTGCGCTAGCCAATCAACGTAAATGAAGGAGCTACCTTTATTCGCAAGTCGATTCGAGCGGTATTCCCGTTTTGCCATTAGCCGCGATAGCCTTGAGCCAATCTTGAATGTAGACGTCCAGGTTGCCGTGACTGAGGAAGCGAACCTTGGAAGTCTGAACACCCGATTTAAGGAGGAGACATGATTCCGCAGGGCACGTTGAGAAGAAAGTAGCGTATTCCAGCAGGCCCTTGTTCATCGCATCCCTCAAGTTATGTTCGGTAACATTAGTAGAGACGGTGAGCCCTCGGAGCCATGGCTTCCATATACCCGAGACCCTGTTGTTTCATGCCGCCAGGTACATGCAGTCGGGATACGATGAGGTTGTTTGTCTCCGGGCCTGAGGGCGTTCCACGCTACACATCAGCCCTATGTCATGCATGGCTAGGTGGAGGGCCAGCTACGGGCGGAGGGATGCGAGCCCGCTGAGCCTCCACGTGTTGTTTCAGCCAGCAGTCGTCTCCTCGGCGTGGGAAGTGTGCACGTGCAGGGTCGTAAGAGCCGCAAACGCAAGGGTGACAGCCTTCGCGGGTCGAGGTCATGGCGTCGTTGCTGCCTGGGTGAGCTATTCTGGAGTTACACGACCCGACATTTCATCTCCCTGCATCTCGGTGTGCTCGTCTCCTGTCTTTCGGGATTGCGATGTGACCACAGTTGTCGTTAGCGTGGGTATAAGTCGCGTGGTATTGAAGCCAGGGCCCGGTCGTGCCTCTTTATTGCTGGGGATGAGCCAGCAGGACGAGCTATCGTTTCGTGGCACTGCGGGTTGGAGGACCTGTGACCAGATGCTCGGATCTTTGATGGCTAGTGGTGGGTATCGTTTATGGGGGCCGCGGATGGGGGCGATGGATGGGTCGAGGACTGCTCACATCGCGACGCGTTTGGTATTAGGCTGGCTGGCTTGGTTCTGAGCGGAATTAAGCCCGACAACGCGGGACGATAGCGGGGCAGCACATGGCATCGCGCCAGGCTACGGCCAACTCCGACGCTTATCCACGGCCTGCACGCGATAGCTGGGGAACAGTCACTTGTACATAGCTGTCGTTGCAAAATCCTTCATACCACAGTGTATCCGTATTCTAGTTCTTCATCCGGCCATGACTGCGCAAACCGCCGAAGGGCTCACGCCCGAGCAGCTCGCTTTCTTCAATGAGAACGGCTACCTACTGATACCGGATGCTCTGTCGCAAGATACGGTCAAGCAGTTGGTGGAAGACACGAATAAGATGCTCAACGACTTCTCACTCGACGACCATCCTATGACCAAGTTCTCGACTGGTGGCGATGACGGCGCCGATCACGTTGGAGACAGCTACTTCCTAGAATCCGGCGATAAGGTACGGTTCTTCTTTGAAGAGGGTATGTAGCACGTTCGGAAACTCAAGACAATGCACTGACATCTGAGCAGACGCCTTCGACAAGTCTGGCTCGCTGACAAAACCCAAACACCGCGCCATCAACAAAATCGGGCACTACCTCCACGAGCTTTCACCCTCCTTCCGCAGCATGTCCCTGTCCGCCCGCAATACCGCCATTGCCTCCTCCCTCGGCTTCCGCGACCCTCGTGTCCTGCAATCCATGGTCATCTGCAAACAGCCAGAGATAGGCGGCGCAGTACCACCACACCAAGATAGCACCTTTTTGTACACGGATCCGCCAAGCGCGGTTGGATGGTGGTATGCGCTCGAGGATGCGACACAGGAGAATGGTTGTCTGAGCTTCGCTGCTGGGAGTCATAAGCGTGCTGCCATTGAGAAGAGGTTTGTAAGAACAGGCAACGGCACGGGCTTCATCGACAATGAGGGCGCCAGATTTCCAAAAAGCTTGAAGCAGGAAACAAACGGCGAGAAGGAGTACGAGATGGTGGAGAAGGAGGAAAGATACGACATGGGTGAGGTCAAGGCCGGGACTCTAGTACTCATCCATGGTAACATACTCCACAAGTCGGAAAAGAATACGAGCAGCAAGAGCCGCAACATCTACACGTTCCACGTCATTGAGGGCGAGGAGAAGTACGACGAGAGGAACTGGTTGCAGCCACCAGAACAAGGGTTTTCGAGATTGTCCAAGGGAGTAACAGCAGCGAACGGGACGGATACGAACAACAGGCTCGCGAGGGACTGGTAACGACCATGTAGAATTCTAGGTAGATTGATCAAGATTTGCTCTGGACGCATAATCCGATCCCGCCGAGTACAAAGGCCATGCCTATCCAGGTGTCTGTTTGGTGTTAGCCCACATTCGTCGTGCATACACGGCCATACAACGTACCCCGACTGATGACCTTCTTCTCTGCCCACCACTCTCCCAACACGGTGAACAGGAACGCAAGACTGTTGGTGATTGGCACCGTGAGGCTCAATTCCGCCTTGCCTATCAATATGAAGAACCACACACTGCCGGTAACGTTCAACAACAGCGGTATCGCATACGCTGGCCTGCTCAAGACGCCAATTACGGCGTAGAGTACGCCCAAGACTTTCTTCTTCAGCCAGGAGTTGTTCGGATCGGTGAGGGCGGGGCGTTGGGGCGGCGTGTAGTTCCTGGCGAATACAAGTTAGCTCTGGACGCGTTCTGGAATGGACCACGACAGGCAGAATATGGTATATGACGGAGCTTGAGACTCACATGGCAGCTTTGCGCATGAACGGTGTTGTAAGCCCCCAGCATGCGCCGACCAGAAGGAAGCCCATGATCCAACGGAAGACTCCTGGCTCCGGCTCATTGGCCACGGGCGCATCGGGATCCATGGCGCTGGTGTAGGATACAGAGGTAGGCAAGAGAATTGCAACAGCAAACACGACAAGAGGAGCGTCGATCTCGTCGGTGCTGTGCTAGTACAGTCGTCACTCCAGAGACTCGCGAGCTGCCCATGTCCGGGGCTGACCCACAGCTGTTCGTACGACGCGCTAAACCGCCCGTGCGCGCCTGGGCAAGCCTCAACACCACGCTGCCATCGTGAACGTGTACTTTCTGCCATCACCTCCTCCATCAGGTTTGTGGCAACCGACGCCGATCAGTCACTCAAAAAGCGCAGTCCGATTCGAAATAGGATGACGAGTCTCTGCATTGGCCATGTGCCCAGGATCAAACCACACACAAGAGACTGGAGACAATGCCGTCACAATTTGGTGAGAACAAAAGCGAGGCCTGGCAGTCTTGTCGCACATCGAAACACTATCATCTCGATCCTAAGATACAGTTTCAAATTGTTTCTAAACCTCGTGAAGTTGGAAGGTCCACCCATACTGAGTCCTTGCGGCTCCCCCAACGTGCACGCCCCGGAGTGCACATCAGATTGACCGTGCTGCAGATCTCACGTTGTTACGCTCAACTGCCTTTGATCCACGGCCCTGGTTCCTGCACTAGCTACATCCTGGCCGATTGGAAATCCCCGTTCCTGCATCTGTTTTTGGCCATCGATCCACTCTTCAGAATCTGCAGACCTAATTCGAAATCGCCGATTCGAAACTGTCTGCGGCATCTGTCTTTGCCGGATACCAGGCTTTCGGTAACTGAACAGGCGAGACCGTCTTGTCGCATTGAAGATATCGTAATCCACGTGGTGTCTACACAATCTGAGCTGTGGCCCTCATGAAGTTGCTCAGGCACCCCTCCGACTTCTACCTCTGAAACAACCCTCAGGTCGCTACCTCTCACTCATATGCAGGTCGAGCTTCTGTATACACAAAGACATTACAACAAAGAACGTCATCTACAACCCGATTGTCGTATTACGGGTACCTGCGGCATGGGCAACGTACCTAGGGAGAATACCCAACGGCTGGTATGTGGCTGCATGGGCACGTACCTACCATCATTACGACATGTTCAATTACCCTAGTCGCGGGCTCGAGAGGTTGTGAGGCACGGGCGGTGCGAACGCCTCAAAGCTACCTGAAACCAAAGGGTTGGGGCTTGGTCCCCCCATGCCAACCCCGGGTCAACCCAATTCGACCTACTACGCTAAGTATAGCTGGAATGTACACCGAGTAGGAAATGGCTGGTAAGGTATTTTGCCATATTTGGATGCAAAATTAAGTCTCTCTAGTCTAGGTTTGTCTAGCATGTTTGTTACGGTGCATCATTGGCACGTTACAGAAGTAGTTCGTGCAGGCCTGTAACCATCACAGCGTATCCATCAGTCAGGTACAAGTACCGTGTTACTTATCGCCTTTACTCGCCACCAATTCTGCTACATCCTTCAACGTCACTCGCTCGCCTATCCATTGTCGGTCAACATAACCAAATACGCTGCAAACCTACTTCCTTTCATCGCTATAACATCGACACTCTACCGACACTATGCCAATACGGCCGACCAGCGACAAAGAGGTCGAAGCAGTCGACCTGGACCGCTTATTCGAACAATATGTCGAGACAGATTTACTCCATCATTTCAATGACCGCACGCCTAAGCAATCCACTTCAGATAACACAACGCATCATTTCGAACCGTCTTTGTCAAATGGAAGCGAATGCTTTGGTCCTGAGCCTATACTCGATCGGGAAACACAAGCTGCTTGGCACAAGGCTCTCGAAAAGTACGCACAAAACGCAACCTCGTTTCGATCTGATGATCCTGCCTCCTCTTTCTATGTTGCATCATCTTCCGGCATTGATTCTCGTAGCGACTCAGAGTTGTTAAACTTCGAAGGTCTCTTTGAGCTGGAGAGAAATCACTCAAGGTCCACCTCTCAGCCTCCTACATCTCGACCCCACCCTTCTGGACGATCTGTCAAAAAGACTCTTTCCTCTCACGGTCAACCGAAGTATCGCGGCATTACCAAGTCTACCAAGAGACCACATCCTTCAGTCTCGGCCAAGACGATGCAATCATCTCATTTCCAATCGTCCATCGCTCATGCGTGGACTCGCAAGACGAACAGCCCGACAGAATCTTTCGCGAGAGCCTCGTCACATGGTATCGCTTCGCCCCCGCTTTCTTCCAATCTGGATCAGCAAGAGCGCAGCAATGGCGGTGTTGCCCATAATCACCATCAGGCTTACACTAACGATTATTCGAGCCTGCCCAGCGACAGGTCAAACTATACGAACTACCAGTTGACTCCATCTGCATCGCCAGCAATGGGAAATTCTAGCAATTCTGACAGCGGCTTCAACGCTAACATGGGACTCGCCTATTGCTCTGCTAGCACGTCAAGTGCGGCTCTCTCAGCCTTGCAGACCCCGCCTTCCTCTCTCCAGTTACCCGTGACAACATGGGGCTCTGGCACCTCGCCAGCCCTCGATCTTAGTTTCTCAGCCTCGTGCGACGCTAGTAATAGCCTTGAGACACCAGGTTGGTGGAATGAAAACGATCCCACCGTTCAGCCGCCATATTCCACCAGCTTTAGTCAAAGCAATCTACAATCTACGAGCCACAATGTGAGACTAGAAGGACTAGGGATCTCTTACGACTCAGCCGCATTCGACTTCGGCGCTCTGAACGAGAGCTATTCGGCCCCCAGAGCCTCAGCCTCGTTCGATATGGCTAGCTATGGTGCCATGTACAACAGACCATCACACCATTATGCGCAACCTCAAGTGCCGTCCACCAGTCAACCAGTCTCGCGCTCTCCCTCACCACGCGTCGAACCCCGCTTCCATCGTTCTAAGTCATCAAGTCATCATCGCTCTAGCCAATCGTCAAGACGCAAGTCTAGCCATTCTTCCCAACAGTCCTCACGGCAGACGAGCGTAAATAATGGCGGTGTTGGCTTCGTCAACTTCACGCCAGACGACAGCCGCAAAATCCTCACAGGTGTCGCACCCAGCGGTTCCAGCAAGACAAAGGCACGACGAGAGAAGGAAGCCGCCGATAAGCGCAGGAAGCTTAGTCGAGCGGCTATGAAGGCTGTTATAGAGGCCGGTGGTGATATTGACAGTCTGAGGAGGTTGGAGAGGGAGGGTCTGCTGGTCATGGAAGGGTGATTGGCAGTGTGCCTACCGACTTTCGGAGTTTTGTTCATGTCGAGACTTTTTCTCTCCGCTCGCTTTATACAGGGCCGATGTTTTACATATACGATTTTAGATGGGGTATTATGTGTTCACTGCACAATGAGTAATGTATGATTGACTATCTTTACAATTCTGTTCGGCGTGCGCGATCTGTGTGCGCTCCGTGAGTGCTGTTGCTAGAACACTTCTGGCAAGTGACTACATGTTACAGCGTAATGATTGCTGCAGCTGCTCGTTAGCGACTCGGCGAGTACAACCCGTCAGGACGCATAGATCCGATGCTTGAGCGGCATGACATGCCCATGTCTTTTACTTTTGAATATTTGTGGATGCTTCGAACTTCGTCTATCCTCAGCCGGCGGCCTCCACCTCCATACGTCCAAGCACGGCTTCCACGACACCTTTGGCGCCAATGCCCCTCTCCACACCACCTAGACTTTGCTCTTCTGCCTCAAGCTCAACCGCGCCGTCATATACCTTGACGATCATGTCCTCATCCACCTTCGCGCCACACGCTACTAATCCCCTGATTAATGTGCTGACCCTAGTAATCTCCCGCATAACAGCTGGCTCGATCTCGTCGTTCTGGCTGGAATACAGCGTCTCGGTCACGCTTTCGTCCAGCCTGTTGATACCCACCTCTTTCGGGTCCGCATTCGTCGCGATGTGTTTGCTGATGAAAATGTATCCGTTGACACCAAGTACGATGTCGACTTCCCCTGCCGCGGTGTTCAGCGTGAACACTTGCCGCCTACTCCTCACTACACCACCCTTGCGACTCAGTATGCCACCGCCTGCGCCACTTAGACTGGTAAACAAGCCATTCCGCAGTTTTCCGTATTTGAGCGATCGCGTGTGGAGGGATGCTGTGCCGTCTTGGTGCAGACTCTGCACTTCGGCGACGAGCAAGTCGCCTTCTTGAAAGAATGTCCGGATGTTCAGTTCGTCTACTGTCGTTCTGCGTCGCAACACTCCACCGGGCAAGTTTATACTCGACAAAGGCAGGTTTGCGTGCATTGGCGCTGCGATGTCCACGTTCCACTTCTTCGTTCCGACTGTCATTATGCGTCCTACGACCAAGTCGCCAATCTCGGGTTGGTATCGAGCGCGCAGCGGTTGTACGGAAAGCAGTTTATTGGTCTTGTGCAGGGTACCGGCGACGGTCGATATTATCGTTGTGGAGGAGGGAGGAAGACTTGGGATGTAGGTGCCGTGGCCGCGCATCCATTGAGGGTCTGAGGTTATGTGTTCGCCGGGCGTTACTATCGATTTTGAGCCAGAAGTCGCGAAGTCATCGTCTTCCATTTCCACATCGGAGTCGTCGTATTCGTCGTTCGCATCGCGCCGTGGTGGGAGAGGTGCGCTGGGTGGGAGGATGGAGATTGGCATGGTGAATATGCGCCTGTGTGGACGGCGCGTTCTGTTTCGAGAGTGTGAGGTATATGATCGATGGATCCGGTTACAGCCAATCGTTTTAAGCTAGTCGAGGCTGCGTTCGTGTGATACCGCGGGGGTGTTGATGATGTTGTCTACTGCGAAGAGCTTCCGAAATTTTGGCGGGGATTAAAGCTTCCCCAATGATCCCTGCCGAGCTTTCCGGATGGGGCCTAGTCTTGACGCGTCTACCTCATGGCAGTCGCGACAGGTCCGACCCGACGTCATCCATCAACAGTCGAATCTCGCTACCACTCCCTCTCCATCACTGCTGCATCGCTGCTCTGAACGAGGATCTCGCATACAAGGACTATGGCACCGACAACACCATCCCCTGTCGTGTCCAGCTTCAACGAGCCCTTCATCTCAGCCCTTGATGCTGCGGCGCCGGCCAATGCGAACGATGACCCAAGCTACTATGCCCGCTATCCGCGGTCCCTGATCGCCACCTCTAATCTCGACACTTTCATGACTGGAACTGGATCTGCAATTTACGACTCATTAGTGCCTCTTCTCGAGTCTACTAGCCGCGAGCTTATTCTGGTCACTTGCTTCTGGGCTAGATCGACGACTCTAGAAACACTTAACGAGGTTCTGAGAAGACTCTCCGACAAGGCTGTCAGGAGAGGGACGGACAAGATCAGAGTTCGACTTTGCTTTTCTTCCAGTTCGGTCTTTCAGAAGCTATTTCACAAGCAGGCCACTTCAGGACAGACGTATCCGCCTTCAGCATGGGTGAAGAAGTTGGGCTTGCCTGACCCGTCTGAGCTCAATGGACTGGACCTCGAGATTAAGTCCATATTCATATTACCATTCAGTGTCATGCATCCCAAGTTCATCATCGTCGATCGGAAGACGGCAGTATTACCAAGTTGCAACATCAGCTGGGAAGAATGGTTCGAGGGTGCCGTCACCCTTACTGGACCTGTTGTCGAACAGTTCCTCAAATTCTATCGGACTTTCTGGGAGCGGCGAGAGGATGTTCCGACGAGTCTCGACGTTCCCGACAGCGCTGTGGTAAAGCTTCACGGTGCGCTGAAATCGTCTGCACTACTGTCGGCTCGCAGTATACATACCGTCTTCCTTCCCAGCCCACACCGTCGTAATCCGCGCTTTAGTTTCGTTGGAGCTCAAGACACCCTTCGAGCTCCGCCAACGCCTCTGAACGTTTTCATACTCACACTCTTCGCAAAGGCTGAGAGAAGCATCCGTATTCAGACGCCAAATGTCACTGCGCCACCTGTCCTGTCCGCCATTCTCAGAGCGCTTGCACGCGGCATCGACGTACGCATTCTGACCTCGGAACGTCTCATGATACTCGAGCAGTTGGTCACAGCAGGAACCACAACGTCACGCTGCATCAAGAAGCTCATCAAACGCTATCAACAGCTGACCCACGACGGTGGCAGTTTGAACGATGAGGAAGCAGCTATGGCGACTCCCAAGCCCGGTCGCCTACATGTATCATACTTCGAGCCGATCGATGGACCCAAGAAGAGGGGCAACGAAGCAGGAGAGCCCCAACAGTCGCATCTCAAGATGACTATTGTAGATGACGAAGTCCTCGTCCTAGGCTCCGGGAATCTAGACCGGGCGAGTTGGTTCACAAGTCAAGAGCTAGGTGTTGCCTTTTTCGACAAAGAAGTGGTCAGAAAGGTTGGAAGTGCGGTTGATGAAGGTACACAGGGAAGAAGCAAAGTGGTATTTGACAGTGAGGGCTAGCATGTATCGTGTAAGACGGGCGCTGCCCAGTGCACTAAGCTAAGAGTGCAGCAGTGGCATGAACGTACTGTTCTGTTAACCGTCTAAACTTCTTCCTATGAACCAAGTCGGCCGTGGAAACATCTAGCCAACTGTCCTATTCCCCTCGAGAGCTCTGAGCTTACTAAGTCGACAAACTCTTTCCAAGACTACCGTTCCATAAAAACGTCCCCAAAGGACCTCACCATCGTCCTTCTCGTCCATACGGTCAATTCAATCCTTGATTTCGACGAGATCCGTAAAGCATGTCGCAATCTTCTCAGCGCATCCGTTGGGACAGGCTTTGGTGTTGGGACCAGCATCTCCATCGGTTGAATAGTCTCCGCATCTGAGACCACGGACCTTGACTGTAAGCTTGCGGGTGCTGAGATATGTACGACAGCCTTCGAAGTGCTCTTCGATTTTTTCCTTGTCCATGCAGCCGCAAATCCTACCGATCTTGTTTCTGTGGTTGTGGTAGTCATCTAGATCCCAAGCCAATATAATCTCGACTGTGAGCTCCTTCAGGGCGAGAAACTCTGACTGCCAGGCGACGGCCGGATTCCCGTTCCCTCTAAGCTCCTTCCGTATTGTTCGACGCAGCCTGGAGCTCTTTTCGGTGTCGAGGAGGACATTCCATGAGTACGGGAATCTGGGGTCTTCATTCGTCCTGTTCCAACCTAGTCGGCCATCCACGAAGATCTCGATGGTTAAGTTCCGAACCTGTTCTGCGAGAGACGTGGGCGGTCGCGGGTATTGTAGGCCAGCGCTCGGCCAACCGAGGAGGAATTGGTTCTCTCCCCACGAAATCTTGGCTAGTCTATTCATCTCTTTGCTGGTGAGGAGCAAAGCCTCATAGCTAGCCATTTTTGCACGGATGGGATGAGTTATGGCCGTGAGAGTACCATCAATGTGGAGTCGATGGCCAAGGGTCGCCAGTTTCAGCTCTTCTGGTAAACTATTCCAAGATGCAGGAGCAGAGGAGGCCTCATCGCACACGCTCGCTAAACTCGTTAGCGTACGAGATGGAGGGTGATGAAATAGGAAGACTTACTATCCTTGAAAGACCCTGCGTTGGTTTCTTTGTCTCCGTTCATGCTGTGGTGTTTTGCTTAGTGGTTGATGTGAGTAGTTGTTCGGAGAGACTGGGGGAGACTGAGGGAGCAAATTCAGCACATATTTATCTGGATGGCCACAGGTGAGCCCGGTACGGTGAAGTCAAGGCAAACAGACACTTTGCTGAAAGACGTCAGATTGACTTGGGGTCTACCCATTTGTTCTACGCAGTTGTTCATTGCGTACGAGTGAAACGAAGTCAACTCTACTGACGCTGAACGAGCTTTCACATTGGACGTCCGTCTAGGCTTTGGGTGAATATACACAGTGCATAAAGGGGGTCTCTATCCCTCTACTATATATTAATCTCTTTCCCTCAGGCGTAATTATTTCACCCTGTGAGCCGAAGAGCGGCCCACCAGCAACCTAAACGAATCGAATTTCACGAAATGGCAACCGAGGTGTCGCAAACCACGATTGTCCAGTCGAGACTCCTGGACCTATCTAACGAGCTGTTGATGCAAATTCTTGGATATTGTCTTGTATTTGACAAACCCATCACATCTATGATGCACTCAGTGTACATGGCTCGTCTCATTCGACTTGCTAGCATCAACAAACGGCTATACGACCTAGCTATGGATGTCTACTGGAAGGAGAACGAATTTGTCATCGGGCTATCGAAAACGAACACGCTACTCTTCAATCCTCGTAGAGCGATGTATAGCTTCAAGTATCCAAGTCCGCCAGTCGCGTCACTGATACGTAACTTGACTGTAGATCTGCGATTTCAGCCGGAGCTCTACAATGGCGACCCTCGGTACCTTCAAGATATCTTCAAGCCAGATGGCGATTGGCTGTTCATAGTCCCCTATAGATGGAAGCCTCCTCAGATTGCGTTGACTTTGGGTAAATGCAAGGAGGGTGACACCCGTGTCCCCGAGGGTACTCCGGCACAGGATCCTGTGCGTTGGCAGCAGTATTTCCACCCCCAGGTGCTCAAGATCATCATTACTCTTGGAAATGATGGTGAAGATGAGGCGTGCTTCATGGCTGAGGGTATTTTTTCATATTCAGGGCGTTGGCGTGGACTTTCACTCGAACAGCGCAAGAAAGATGCTGAAAAGCGGCTCGCGGGTACATCCTGCAACGTCGATGCGAAGAAGACCGTGTTCGAGGTCCGAGGTATGGAATGCTCGGGTGGCGACGGATCGGGTATTTGTGGTGGTTCTTGCGCGAAAATTATCCAAGAGACGTTGCAGGGCATGGTCCGGAAATAGCAGGGTTGTCAATTTGTATAGTTGGTACGTAGCACGATTGGAGAGGGCGAAGTCCGCAAATCTTGACTTGCTTTAATACCAAATGCATCACCATTCCGGCCTGCACTTTGTTTGTTGCAAGATGTATTCCTCTCATGTTTAACCTTTACTCAGATCAAAATCCTGCCTTTGGTATGACTAGCCAACGCCACTTATTACCTATGCGTGATGTGCTTAGGTGCCAATCACCATTTTGGGTGCTGTTTCTCGCGATGCTACTTGATCGCTTGACCAAATATGGACGATGCGGTTTTCGATTTTCGTGATATCTAGAGCCTGGAGTGAACCTGGGTTCAGCTAGTCCTTCACTAGCAGCAGACGCAGGTATGACGGGGGCTGGCGATTAGATAATCGGGTGATGACGTCACACATCGTCACCTTCCCCGTCAGGCATCGCCGGAACCGCAGTCGTCTCACTCAATGCAGGTGTCGTGCACGCACACAATGAACTAATCCAATTTCAATAGTCTCCACTAAATTTCACATTTGCTATTTATTGAAGGTTATATCCCTCGTGACAAACCCTTCGACGCGTCGCGTCAATTCCCATTGCGCTTCATCCTCCTCAGGGTTTCGACTTCCCACAAAGCCCGACCGATCAAACATGACTACGCTATCAAACGGCAGATGCACGGGTTCCCCTCGGCGCGCTAAATAGCACTCGTCGAAAGATATGGGCCCCCTTGGCGAGCAATACTTAGCAAGTTCTAGGATTGCTGCATGCTCACCTGACAAATATCTCACTTTGAGATGAATCAATCCCGTGAAACCAGCACGATCTTTTCCCGACATTGCTCGTAGTATTTGCCAGTCGAATTCACACAGACGAGTCTGGAAAGTGATATGACGGAGCTGAGGCCGTATACTCATGGACGGCTTAGCCAATATCGAGTTTGGGAATACTAGAGAGTTGGTGAACTGCATGGTGAAGTTGTTCTCTTGGTAGAACACAGCTTTAGCCATCTCTGCGACGTCTGGTGTCATCCTGAGATACGGGAGCAGCTCCCTTCGTATTACGGTATTAATGTTTGCTGGCCAGAGTGGAGAGGGATACAGGAGGTTATAGCGAAGTATCTCGAGTTTCAGTTCGGTTGGTAAATTTCTCCAGCCCTTTGCGAATCCTGGTGTTGCAGGGCCAGCCGGCGAAACCGTAAGTTTGCTGTCAGATCCAATACGAATCGGTGTATACGCGTGTATCTGCATCGAGCAGGGTGCCGATATGTTTAACGGCTGGGACGAGTACACGGCGAAACTAGCTTGCCTGGGTATATCCATGGGCCAGTGGATTTCTATCACTTCTTCAAACTCCTCGTCTTGCCCTGAAGTCCGTCTCTGTACGCTCATTGAGGTCGTCTCAGGTGTTGTGGCGGACATGGCTCTTGCACTATGTGCACCTCGTTCTCAAGAAATACTACGACGATGTGATCGTTTTGAGATATCTCTGGAAGGAGCGATTAGCCTCGAGAACAAAGGCTGAGGTTAGTGACAAAACTCCATCTTGGTATAGAACTCAGATTTATACTAGTGTCTACTCGCTGTGAAGCTGATCACTCACAATGAATGCAGTGAAATTCACAGCGCATTCATGTGTTGTTCTAATTCAATCATAGTTTATACAGCTCTTGACATCATTCTGTGAATTCTATGCGCCCGATCAAGTTCGTTCGAGGCCTCGCGCCTCGAATTTGTAATAAGTGAAGGCCTCAATGCAAGTCTTTTCTTTTGTTCGAACAAAGGCTTTCACCTACACGCTGTGGTCAACAGTTCGTGGTAGTGACTGGAGAGAGAAATTTCACGATTCTGTGGGCTTCGGGGTTGAGACTTATGTGGGTGCTATACCAAGCTGTGTACTCGAAGCCCGAGTTGCATTTCACTTTCTACGCTACTGCCTAATCACTTTCAAGGCGCCTAACCCTTACACATCTGCTTCTTCGCCGTTAGTAGGATAGAGCACCTCGGTTCCGTACACACCGAGCAATCCACCACACACTCTCACAAACTGCTCCGTAAGCTTCTACTTGCCTTCAGGGCTCTCGAAAATACAAGCCATGGATGTGCTTTACTTCCATACCAGTCAAACGCCATCGCGTGCCCACGCTTTCGGAACTACAGCGCCGCCAGATTGCTCACCTCCATCTGCCTCATGTACGGTTGCGTTCGGTCTGTCCCAAGACTCGCCTCTCTGCATTCGCACACCGCTTCAAATGCCTGCGGGATCATGGCTTTGGGTCACCGCGTCCTCGGCGTTACATGCAGTCAGTGCTAGTACTGTCATCAAGAGCGTCACACAATTGACCTGCACCAACGCGGTATACCTCCGACCTCACCACGATACATGGCTCATACCTTCACTGCCGCTGGACACGTCTTTCGCTACAGGTTGGAACAAGCTTCCCACAGAACTGAAGGTTCAGATACTAAGCTACAACCTGGCATTTCGCGACACAGTCGACCGGTACGAGAAGAATGTTCTGCCGGCTCTCGACCACCATCTCCGTATCTCTCCCGAAATCGCCGATCTTGCAAAGGAAATATTCTACGGCCAAAACACCTTCCGAATATGGCGCCATCTCTCAAGACCTTCGGGTCGCGCTCTATTCCCAATCGCTTACGAGTTGATTCGGAAGATTGTGGTAGACGTCATTCTGGGTTCCTATACCGACTGGGAAACTCTGTCAATGATCTCCAAGGGGAGCCACGGACTTTCGAACCTGCGATACATAAATGTTGTGGTCAATTGTCGTGGAGCCATGTTCAGTCCTATAAACGATGATACAATCGCGCGGCTTCTTGGGCGTATACATGATAGCTGCGACGAGTCTATCGTACTTAAATGCAAAGGCGAATTTACATTCGCCGGGAGGCTGTGGCAGAGCGGCAATATTCCCTCGATTACCGACGGCATTCAGAAGGTGGAGGCACTCATGAGGAGTAAGGTGGCGTTTGAAGACGATTCCAAGGACGAGGTTTGAGCAGATCCAAGAGGCATACAAATAGAAGGTATGGAACCCGGGCGGAGCAATGCAGTTGCATCAAGTGTGGGGGCGACAGTTGTCTGGCGAAGACGAAGAAGATATTAGACCTCGTAGAACACACCCAACCTTCAAATCCTTGAGAGAGATGAAATGTCGAGCGTGGATTGTATTGCAGTCAACCATTACCGCCGAAGCGCATAATCGGCATCATGGAAGCTCACTAGCATCTCAGCCAGTTAATGAGCGGAGTAGGGTGTCTGTCTTTACAAAAGACTATATACAAGCTGTGTGTGATCCACGTCCATCCTATCATCTATCATCAACCATACGCCACAACGCCAGACAAGCGCCAGACCATGGATAAAGATATTGCGTATAATGCGGAAGAGTGTGGTGTGAGTTGAGCAAAATGGTAGATGTCGGCATAGCCCAATAATCTCTTGTTAAAAATAAAGCGGTGAAAGTAAACAAAATGTCCAAAATATGATCCACATCAGCACTTGACGGATCGTCCCAATTGCATACCAGAACCATGCAGATCGAGAACCTGGGGGCATGCCAACGTAATCCAATCAGACCCAAAACCATTTCCAGCCCTTGCTGCGTGTAAATAAATGCGCAGCCATAATCTAATGTTGAATGTGAGGGGTATGTGATGTGTAACAGTCGTGTCTCGTACGGCTTTGTGCGTTTTCGCAACGTTCGCCAGCTCTATACAGCGCGATGCTGTAGAGGGAAAGGGTCTACATGGAACCCATAGCAATGAGTGCCTCGATGGCGTCGCGTTCAGCGCCAGAGCCGGCTACACCAGCTGGTGCATTAAAAACGGAAGAAGTCAAAGGAGAGCCCGCGTTCACGACGTGATTACCGTGGGATGCATGTGGAACAGTAAGAAAAGGTTTGTACGTGGGCGTCGCAGTGCGTCCGTGGTGAGGTTGAGGCTGGGGCAGAGAGTGGGCCTGGGCGGATATGCTCCGGTAGCGCGGGTTGCTCGTCTGAGTTCGGCTTAGATAGTTGTAATCGCGGTGTTCTCGGCGCGGACCGCGGCGGGTCTCGCGAAGAGCTTCAGGCCCCATCGTCGCCCAGTCTTCTTGATCCGTGTCGTCGTTAAGTTCTTCCTCCAAATCCATGTCGGAAGCCGAGTCGGATTCGGTGCTGCCCTCAGAGTCGTCCAGCGACATCTGGTCAGCCATTTCTTCGTCCTCGCCCTGGCGGTGCGGCGACCACGAGCCAGCATTCCAGCTGCCCGAGTAGACGTCGCGCTCTTGTCGCAACTTGGGTATTTGGAGGCTGCCCCCGATGCTATCGACACTCGCCGGCGTTGCGCGCCCGTTTCCAGAGCGCTTACCACCGATGGGCATTCCTGCAGCCTGGGAGCCAGAGCCAGCTACACTCCAACGTCCCCAGCCGACCTTCTCGAACTTGACCTCTCCGTGCAGACCGCCGCCGGCGCGATGTTCCAGCGCCGCAACGACTAGCCTACGGGCCTTCGCAGGGGGTAGCCCAGAGAAGCCAGGCACCGCATGTGTCAGATGCGCCATCATCTCGCGGATGGGCATTGCGCCGTGGCCTTCGATGATGTCTGGCAGGTGGTGCTTGGCCAGCATCAGCGCCGTAATCTGGCGCGTCGCATCCAAACCCGCCAGCGCCTCCTTGGAGAGCGCAGAAGGCTGATCTTGCGCTGCAGCGTGTTCCACCGCATCCTGAAGATCTATGTCCATAGACTCCTCTTCTGGTGTGTGCAGGCGTCCGACGACGGGCATAGGGCGTCGCTTGTGCGCAGGGAGCGTCGGGGAGATGGAACTCGGTGGCGTAGGGAGGGTGCCGGTCGAAGCAGCATGGCCACTGTCCTGGCGTCCAAAGGCCATGGCGATGTTGGACATCGGCTTCTGGGCGGAAGCAGCCATGTTTACTGTTGGGAGGCAGGGGCTGACGGGTGAGTCAAAGCGCGAGTTGGTCGGGAGTCGCGCTGGATGGAAAGGAGGTCTGGAGAGCGGAAGAGTCAGCAACCAGAATCTCTGATATCGTAGGGTTCAGAAGGTGAGTTTGCAGGGCGATGCAACTCGTCTTGCGGCAAACGCACCAGGAGCTTCGGCTTGCACTGTCGGATATCGACGGTACGGTCTTCGGGCTGCAGCAGGAGTCTGGGTTTAAAATTGAAGACAGAGGTCGAACTGCTTTGTGCGACAAGCGAAATGCAGTTATGGGGCGGATATGCGTTGGCGTTGGGTTGTTATAGCAAGCTGCAGCAACGTAGCTTGTGCCTTCACCGTTCCGAGAGGTTTAGCGATCGGCGATGGGATCAGCGAGTCGGTAACGGGAGGATGCAGGTAGCGTGTCAGGGCAGCAGAGGCGAACGGTAGTAGAGGCAGAGACGGGCAAACAGCGTACAACGAGCTATCAGAAGAGGTTCAATATTCGGGTGTGGGCTATGTTATGAGTCTACGTACGAGCAAGGCAGGGTCGCTATGATAAGGGCTCCTTGGTTCCGAAGGCAGCTGGTTCCAAGGAAGGCACGTGCATCTGACGGGAAGCTACGACTCGTGCCCCTGTCAGCCTTGTGATTGGCTCGGAAGCAGCTGACTGAGTCCTTGACAGCCACACACCTCGCACAAGCGTCATGAAACCTCGCCCCTCGCAGCAGCAGGGACTCGAAGCTTAGAAGAAGCAGGGCAACGCTAGAGTAGTACAAAGTGTATCGTGTCTTTGCGATGCGGTGAAGCCGTGTACTTTGTCTGAAATGCTGCGAAACGCTGCGAGAACGATGTCGCGATGTTCGCAGCTGCTGCATTCAGCCATCTCGATCGTGGCTTCCGTTCGCAGCCGATGCCCCATATCGCCATGCTGTGTGTATCGGCTTCTTACGTTGTCCATCCGTCTCTCCATGCCTCGCTCCCACACCGGCGATTGGCGCTATCATTATCGCGCTGCGGGGTCCATCCCACCATCCAAAGGTCCGATTTCGCCATGCGCCTACTAATGAGAGGCTCAGGCACATGGTGAGGGGGCCTGCTTTCGCGGCCAGCAACCACCGTCTGACACACGTGTTTGCCCGACAGGCCTCACTGCAAGACATCCCGTCGCAGAAGATCGCCAAACTCTACAGAGAGCTTGCGCAACCCATCGGAGCTTTTTGCCGTCAACCGAGGGACGTGAGCGTTACGACCAGACAACGTGATGATGCCTCAACCATGATTTGCGTTGACAACATACTTCGTGATAGCCTAGTGGGTGGGGTTTCCGTTAGCGATGCGACTACACACACAAAAGTTCGAGTCAAAATCGACGTACCGATTTGAGGACGTTGATCTGCTGCACCGTGCGAGTGAAAACGGCCCGGTACTGCTCGAGGTTCTGATGCACCACTTCGTTGCGCGTAGTGCGGCCTTCGCAGATGGCCTTCATCTGGACCTCCATCTACCCAATGTATTAGCGAGCATGCCGGGTCATCAAAGCCCAACATCCCACTTACTTCTTTCCGGAGGAATGGTTTGCTGAGACTTGTCTCAAACCCCACGTTGTCGTATCCTTCGATAAGCGCGATACCCAGCGTCGTTGGGATGAACTCTTGTATTCCGCCCGTTCCTCCTCCGTTGTTCTGGCCTACGGCTGCGCCGCCTCGCCCACCACGTCCCCCTCGTGCCCCTCCTCTTCCTCTGCCGCGGCCTCTACCTGCACCTGTGCCATCTGCGGCTGCTGCTGCGCCGCCCGCTTTGAGTCTTGCAATGACGTATTCGCGCTCCTTGATCTTGGCGATATGCTCGGCCATGGTTGCATCTGTGCCGATGCCGTTCGCATCCATGAGCGCGATGAGTTCAGGCTCGGTGAGGTAGCTAGGTGCCGACGTTTGCCCGTCCAGCATGTTCGCTTCTGTAGGCTCGAACGTTTCACCTACCGTGTACTGGGGGAGCACTTGACTGCTCTCCCACTTGTCGTATGGGTACACGTCGAGATAGTTCCTGGCAATCACGGTAAGGCCATGTGCATGGAAAATCTCGCCTCCGTACTCGATTTCGATGTCTGTGGCTTCACCGACAGCGTCTTCAGAGCAACATGCGAGAAAGCGGCGGACGACAAATTCGTACACAATGCGCTCTCTGTCGTTGAGCTGAGATGACGCGACGTAGTTGACGGGATGAATGGGCGGATGTGCTTTGTCGTTGTTGCGGCCCTCGCGAGGTTGATGAAAGCCACCGTTCATGAGATTCTGTGCAAACGGACCCCAGCGACCGTCTTGTGTTTGCCTTCCGACAAGCGCTCGCAGGTCCATACCACGATCGAATTGGTCGGTCTCCGTACGAGGGTAACTGATCCACCCTTTCGTATACAGGTCTTCGGCCACTTTCATGACGTCTTGCGAAGTCATGCGAAGAAATCTACTTCCATTCTTTTGTAGTTCAACTGTCGTCAGAGGTAATGGTTTCCACTTCTTCGTGGGTTTCTTCGCCATCTTGACCACTTTTGCTGTCTTTGAGAGCAGACATCTCTCGAAGATGAGGACGACCGCCATGCGATCGAAAAGATGACCTCGTCGCCAGTTAAACTTGACTTCAATGTCGTCTTTCTTGTGTGCGAGCTTGATGTACCAAAATGGCTCAGGAACAAAGTTTCGCACTCGCAGATAGCGATCGACAACGAAGCCTAACGTTGGAAATTGACAGGAGCCGTAGCTGATCAACTTGAATCGCTCTTCGCCCTGCTGAGGAATCATGTTTTGTAGCGCCAGTGTCTGCATGCGTGTGAAGGCTGCACCGAGCCGCAGATCTAGCTCAATACGAGCCGAAACAGCTTGAGCCTGCTTCTCGTCTAGGCGGATCGGGTTCTGTGAGGCCTGTATAACGTGCCTGGGTCACGTTAGTTGATGCTCATGAACATCTTGCAGTGTCACAGACGCTCTCTCGATATTGCTGAAGCGCGCTCTCCAAACCTGCATGTTTGGGTTCGCCTTCAGCGCAATATCACGAATCTCAGTGCCGATATGCTCGCCTTCGCGATCACAATCAGTCCAGATGAACAAGATGTTCGCCCACCTGGCTTGCGCTTCGATATTGCTCGCTACAACCTTTTTGTCCTGTATATGGATTAGCCAGCTTCGTCAGAACGAACCAAATCACCCACTTCTGCTATGCTCGACACTATGGGTGCCTCGAACAGTGCTGCGGGCTGACATGAGTGCCATTTCTTGAATCGATCGTTGAAGTCCTGCGCAACGATATGTCCGGCAACGCATGTGAACGTTACAGAGCATTGCCCCCAGTTTTGGAAGCGGAAATCAAACTTGTAATTCTTGACCCACTGGATACCGCGGACACTTTCCTATCTGAAGTCAGCCTGCGTCCGATCTGCACGTCAGGCCATGAAGGCGCCCGTATCCTTGCATCGAATACCAAGACATGAGCTGAACGCATCTGTCATACTCTCCGGCTATCGAAATATCAATCAAACACAAGTGTGAACTTTCAAGGAATATGTGGAAGGTCAATGCGACATGCTGAACTTACTGCTCGGGCTTGGCCGCCCAGATGATTTGCGACTGCTTTTGCGATCGATGGCTTCTCCGCCACGCACAATACCCGAGTCATACCTCTGGAGTGCCGTTGAAACCGCGAAAGAAGCTCAACGTGGGTCTGGAGGCGATGGTGGGGAAAGACGCTCACGGTCATGTGAAGACGCGTCAAGATAACCTTGGCGCGTACTAGCGTGTTCGAGAGCCGCACGGACGCTACCGCAGCTCGCTAAGCCGGGGACACGAGGGAAAACAGGTCTTCATGAGGTCATTGTCCGCTTCACACAACAAACGCTAACCTTGGAACGCCAGCTTGCGAGGGGCGCATCGCAACATCCCCATCTTCACCAACCCTCATTGCAACGATGCCTGACCCCCGTACATACACCGACATGGCACTGCCACTTGTCAAGACGCTGCCCGACTGCGTCGACTACTTCAAGACCGTGGAGCCGTTCCTGCCACAGTTCTACGACCTCCCGTACAAGGTTGCAGCGCACATCACCGATGTGCAGGCACTGAAAGACGTCTATGTCAACACCAACCCGCTCATGTCATCGCTGGCATTTGCCACGATGTTCGTCACGCCGATCGTGCTTGCCGTCTCCGAGATCAACCGGAACTACTCGCAGGTTGACAGGATCTGGAGTATATTGCCTGCCCTCTACAACGTGCATTACGCACTATGGGCTCATCTCAACGGCCTGCCCACCATGAAGCTGGACCATATCATGGCTGTCTCAATCATTTGGGGTGCTCGCTTGACTTTCAACTATTGGCGGAAGGGCGGATATCAGGTCGGCAGCGAAGATTACCGATGGGAAATTGTCAAGGACTACGTCGGCGGACCCGGCATGTTCATTTTCAACGTCACATTCATCTCGCTAGGGCAGAATGTAAGTATACTCCTACTACTTACTATCAGTGTACGAGATACTGATCATGGTAGATTCTTCTTTGGCTTATCACTACGCCCACGTATATCCTACTCCTCGTCAACCGCATCAAGGGCAACGACATCACAACCTACGATACCCTATTCGGCCGCTCCATGCTCGCTATCGTCGTATTCGAGTTCTTTGCCGACCAAGCGCAATGGAACTTTTACAAAGCGAGGAATGCATACCAGAAGACTGCCAAGGTACCATCCGACCAGAAATACACCCGTGAACAATTAGACCGTGGCTTCAACACTACTGGTCTTTTCAGCTGGTCGCGCCACCCCAACTTCGCAGCCGAACAATCCTTCTGGGTATGCTTGTACCAATGGTGCTGCTTGGAGACTGAGACCTATGTCAACTGGGCGTTTGCCGGTGCATTCGGATACCTGATCTTGTTCCAGGCTAGCACTTGGTTGACTGAGCTGCTCAGTGCGGGCAAGTACCCTGAATACAAGGTCTACCAGGAGCGGGTTGGGAAGTTCCTTCCGAAGTTCGGCACCAAGAGCATGGACTTGCCGCAGACGGAGAAGGAGAAGCAGAAGGTCAAGGACGCGAAGGCTGGCAAGGGCTCCATGAAGACTAAATAAGTCCACATGGAATGGCTATTGCACAAGCGCAAAATCTCCTACAAATGAAGAGGCCATATACTCGAAGACAGAAAATGTGTAGCCAGCCAGGATGAGTGGGCAATGTGAGCAGACGGGTGCTCAAGTTATGATAAGGATCTCAACACCACATATGTGAATAATTCCACCTAAGCATAATATACAAGAAAGTAACTAACCACCCCTCTGGGTTACGTCACAGAAGTTGTCTTAACATCACTACTCTCACATCCTTCTATTATAAATGTTTTGACTTCTTCATTCACTCCTTTCACAGTTCACCAATCTCTCATTGAACTCGAAACCTTGTTCTGCTCGCACGATACCGTCACCCGTTGTGGCTCCTACTAGACGCAACGACAGTCTCTTTAACCTTCCGCCTGGGTCTCCTCGACCGCGAACCTGATCTTGCTGTTGAACATCTTCTTCACGTCTTCGAACGAAACCTCTGATGACTTGCCCTTAGCTTTCTGTGGAGCAAGGAACTTCAGATTGCCAGCGCAGTGAAAGTCGATTCCATCTCCGACCGTGTTAGTGAGAAAGTCGTTGTATTTTCTCGCACTGGTCAAGTGCACAATCCGCATGTCCAACTCGACAACGACGTTGCGAAGCCCTGCGAAACCGTAGTCACCGTTCGCAAGCTTAGCGAGTTTGAGCCATTCAATCCTCATCGGACGGATGCGCACAGCGAGCCGTCGAATGAGATGGTGGGATGCTTGTGGGGGATAGGCGAAGTAGAGGCGGGTATCCAACCTCCCTTTTCCGATAACGACAGACTCATATGACGGCTCTAGATGGAACTCGTTCTTGGTCCAAAAGATCTCTCGCGCTATTGCGGCGATTTCGCGTGTCATGGTCAGGTGGGGAAGCAGCCGGCAATGGACGATTGGGAGGTAGACTGCCTTATTGCGTGCGCCGACGCGATTCTCGGCTTTCACATTAAATTCAAGGATTAGGGCCTTCAGCTCGGCTGGCAGCCTGTTCCATCCCTCTTCGAATGCGGACTTGAGCGGCGCTGACGACGCGATGATGAGCGGCCTGAAGGACGTGATCTTGGTGATGGACTGGGGGCCAGCGTCGACGTCAACACTGTTGCCCTTTATGAGAGTGACCCGATATGGTGAGTCGCTTTTGATGTAGATGGATACAGGTGGTTGGAGTTGGAGTGGTGTCGTTAACTGGATGACATCTTCGTACATATCCACGTCGGGGACCTTGCTGAGTGTTTTGATCGTCAAGGAGGAGTGTCGGGCGGCCATCATCGCCGTGGCTGCGAATTCCATGAGCCGTGTAGATGGCAGTTTGTCTTGTAAGCGCTTGGGTGCTGGCGGAGAGGTCAAATATGAGAGATGGGTGCAGCAAAGATTGCGAATGGGGGACGGCGTCAGTGCGGAGGTGAGACAAACGCTGTAACAGTACTAGCGTACAGCACATGTAGACTGTAGGCAACGCCTGAAGTGAAAGTGAAAGAGTCTTGTCTTGCTTCTATTCAATAGAGCCTCCAGGCTATCATTTGACGTATGACTAGGTCGATGGCGCGGTTATGTCGACACAACTACTGCATCCTTAATCTTAACTATCAAGGGTATCTTCTCCCACAACGAGTATATCTTTTGATGTGCGATCCAATTCCGACATTTAGGAAGTAGTTCGAGATCAAAGTTGAACAGCACCTTGCTCATAATGAGGCGCATTTCGTGGAGGGCCATGCTAGTAATAACATGTAAGTATCTTTGCGATGTTCCAGAGACTAAGGGGCAGCGTTACTTACTTCTTGCCTAGGCAGTCCCTTGGCCCTACATGGAATGGTTGAAGAGCCGAGCGTTCATCGGAGGCGAAGCGTTGGTCGCCGAGCCAGCGCTCGGGGATAAAACATTCGGGGAGTCTGAAGTTGTCGGGAGAATTGTACATTGCCAGATGAGAAGCTGCGACATTCGTCTATAGGGTGTAAGTCTTAGACAGCTGTTTGACAACATGTGAGTGAGATGACAACGTACATTCGGAGGTACATAATGCCCACAAATAGTCGAACCTTCAACAGGAGTGAGGTGCGGCAAACCAATCGGTACAGGAGGATAGTGTCTGAACGCTTCCTTGATGCACGCATTGAGATAGGGTAAGCCAGCGGTGACTTCCATACTAATGTCGTCTGATGAGTTGAATGCCGTCCGAATCTCATTCACGAGCTTCACCATTGACTCAGGGTGGGCCAGAAGCAAGTAGGTCAGTCCACTGAGCAACGTCGCTGTCGTTTCGGTCCCAGCTAGCATGAACAACTCGCCGTTCATATCCATAACAGGGCGGGTCAGACCCGCTTTACCCTTGTCTTCTTGTTGGAGAACCAGGTCCCACAGATCGACACCCTCGGACACTCGTCCCTTTTCAAGTCGCTTGGTGACCCTTTCTACGGTGTAGTTGTAATGTTCTCTCCGAAATGTCGCAATCCGTTTACCTAACAATGTAAATAGCATGAACTTGGCGAGCGGGTAGTAGTTGAAGAAGATGCTCATTAGCGTGCCGCGCTTGATGCCTTTGAAGATGACTTGGATCCAGGAATTGTATTCTGAGTTATCGAGCAGATGTAGAGATTCGCCAAATGTTAGGTCGGCCATGACGTCGAAAGTGGTGAAGTTGTCTAGAGATAGTTGTACAAAGTCAGTGCTTGTCTCACATGCGTTTTTACATAGATCTAACGTACACATTCGGACGAGGTCGACCGCGTTCGCTTGGATACTTTCTCTCAAGTTGCGGACGAGTTGATCAGCGTACTTGGTAAATAGCGGTGACTGCTGTACGAGCGCTCGATCAGAGAACGCGGGAGAGAAGATTCTGCGGATTCGTGCATGTTCGGCGTTGTCTTGCTCTGCGACAAGTGAGTTGGCTCCATTAGGAGAACTTCCCTGCCGGTTCCAGTTCTTGGGCGGCGCGGAGCCTGGTCCTTCCTTTGACCCATAACCATAGATGTCGCGCCAGGCTTTTGGGTTGGTGAAGCTGAGTTCGTCGGGCGAGATGCGCACTACCTCTCCGTACTGTTTGTGGAGCTGAACAACGTGTCGCGGTAGTTCACCTTTCGCTATGGCAGCGAGGTATGGTAGGCGCGTAAAGGCAAAGAACTTTGGCCCAGGGAAACGGCTAAGCGGATGGAAGTAGACTCGGTAGATGCCTCTGACTACCCATCGTATAACAATCTGCCAATGTTAGAATATGCGGGTATTAGAAAGCGAATCAGTGCAAACAAACAAACGCAATGGCTAGAGATACGAATTTCGCTACAGAGAGATTCCCAATGACGACCGATACCCTAGGAAACGTGCTCGGTTTCGTGAGGATGCCCATCATGAGAAGTGGCGGTTGAAGGTCGGAGGCAGCGGAATGTCACGGCGACAAATGCCTTCTATTTGTATTCCCCTCGTATCTTTTTCGGTGTGTATTGAAGCAGCCTGCTGTGCATCAACCCATACTTCAGGGGCGTCCTGATGGCAACGGGGTAAGTTGCGTTGACCCGTCACAGGGGCCATGCCGCTCGCTACTCACAGATTCAGGTGTTCTCCACGACGCCGACCTTTATCCGGACCGTGCCATGCGGGGTTATCGGACCGTTAGAGTTAAATACGTCGTACAGAGCGTGATCAATGCTCGTGCGCTCGGCCGACAGTAAGCCAAGGAAGATAGCATGCATAGAGACAGGAATGTGGCGGTAGTTCGCAGGGAAGAAGTCTGGCTAATACAAGTACCTACAACTACATAGATCCCTTTGTCGCGTTACCACCTCCAACGGTGCTCACGTCGGGCGCGCCTACGAGAGCCAGGTTCTCAATACCAGCAACGCCGTATAGCGCTGCGGCATTCGTGCTGACCCATGTGGCTTCATCGACAGCAGAAAGTGCATCACTCCCATCGATCCTCACCCTCGCCCATGGAGCACCCGGTGCAAGCCCATCCTTACTACCATCGCCCAAGAACTCTGACCAAACTCTTGGAACGAGTGTCGCGTTGTTGCGATGATTGGCGACATATGCGGTGAAGCGCGAGTGGCCCTGCATCAAACTTAAAGTGCCAAAGTCCTTGCCATAACGAGCCTTCTGTTCAGCCTTCCCGGCGCCGTAATAGTAGCAGTAGTCCAAGAATGCTTCAAAGAAAGGTTGAGTGAGATTCTTCTGCTCCGTACCGAAGTGGTCCATAAGCTGATCAATAGTCTCAAGGACGCCGAAGACACCAGACAGATGCGAAACCGTGACGTTGCCAGTGTTGTTCGGGTCTGTGGGCGGCGGTGCCCATGCACCAGTGAGACTGTTGTAGAAAGCCTCGCCAGTGGCGAATCCGTTCTTGAGCTTTGGATAGGTCATGATGGACTCGACGAGCTTTTTGCGAGATTCTTCCCAGCGAGGCCCGCGACGCTCCCACTCGATAAGATACGCTTGGGCAATACCAGCCCAGTCGGTGCCAAAGTTTAGGAATAGCGCTTCGGGATCAGGGTTGTAGATAATACCCGGTTCTCGCACCTTGCGTCTCGCATCTACGCGAAGGAAGGCTTTATCAGCATCCATGACCTCACTTACCAGGTCGCCAGTCCGCTCGTCGCCGCCGGAGATGTAGTAAAATGTCTTACGATAGACTGGGGTTGAGATTCTAGCCTGTTTGGCACTGTCACTCCAGTGTTGGACGCCGTGTCTCGTCCCGAGCCCAGTAAAGTTGCCAAGATGATACGAGTCGACCTCGCCTCCGTGGCGCACTTGGTCATGAGCGATTTTGTAGGCATCCGCACGACCGGTGCGGAGGAAAAAGTCCCAGAAGAAGAGATCAGGCGACAGCTCCGAATTATCCCAAGCATAGCCACCGACGTCATATCTCCACTGGTGACGATCATTATCATAGGTATGCATGATGTCTCCATGATCCCAGAATCCGTACCAACGGCGCTGCTCGATTTGGTCTTCGTAGAACTTGATCAGAAAGTCCATGTTGTTCTCGATAGTTTGTGC